TTTCTCTACGAAATCCCGTTATGAAAAGCTATAAAAATAGTTTCTCACATTGCGACTAATTCACAACATTAATAGGAAACTGTAATTAATGCTGCTATTTGGCCTTTTTTTCAGCTAATAACATCTTAAAAAACTTGGCAGTAACGTGAAATACACAAACCTCTCAACGAGCGCTAAAGGCATTCCTCACGAAAGCGTTCACTGACCTAATGTTTTTTCACCCCACGCCACGTTAGTAAAACAGGCAATTTACGCGAGCCTATAAGTAACAAGATTCATTAAGGCTGTTACAAAGTGGCGCGGCCGTTCTTAAAGCGAATGGCCCTCGAGCTTGCAGCGTTCATAATGGTCGTACGAGCCGGCCGAGGCGCCGCGCGCAATTTAATGAAACACCTGGAGAGGTCGCGCCTGCTTCCGTTGCATTAATCTCGCACCCGTGGTCCCCGCGACCCAAACAGAACTACCCTACTACCGTTACCACTACATTCATTTGCTAATTATATTCACAATGTGGTTTGCATACGTAACCTTTATGATAGTTTCGAGCCCTAAGCTTCGAAATATCCGTTTAAAAGTGGCCAACTAATATTAAAGCCGGGATAAACAAGGAGTGACCGTGCGGCGGGCGCTCGCCGGCGGCAACGGCAAAAGTGGCTGAGATAACTCCGTGCACGAATGCATATTTTAACGTTAAGCTACGGCACCGCCATGCAAACTTGTTGGGAACTTCACTGGACTGAATAATTCTTACTTTAAGGCTTTCACGAAGTTTTTTTTCGTCGAGGGAGGACTCCTCGACGTACACCTACATATAACCACAATAATTAAGTAAGCATGAAAACTAATTACATTAACTCACTATTAGCTCTAGCTCGGAGTTTTCTTAGTAAAAAAAAGAAGAACAAGATTAAAAAAGAAAGTTGTAGGTAAACACCAACAAAATCAGTTTTTCAGAGGCCGCGTCGAGTAAACGTAAATAACAAAAAGTTTGTTGCTAAATTATCTTCCCTAAAATAACTTTCTGGGTGGTGGCTTTAATTCTTACCCCGTTAAGTAAGAGGATCTATAAATAGCATAAGTCGTCTTAGGCTGCTGTCTAACTAATAAACCAGATAAAAACAAATAATCAGTACCGATACAAATAACTGATGTCGTTACTGCCAGAATGTGCAATCAATGTGTGGTGCTTCATTATACTGACATTGGAATTGCTTACTTTAGAGACCTGTGTCAATATTGATGTGTGATTATTTGAAGTCAATTAGATAGTAGCTAATTATTTCGTCTGGTAGGCGTGTTCGACATTACGTCAGCAATAAGCGCGGCGGGCGGCGGCGCCGCCCAGAGGCCGCGATAAAAAATACGCGCTGAGCGGCAAGCGTAAACACGCGCCCCTCTCGCATGACGCCTCATTAGCCACTCCCCTGTGCCTCTATAAATCATTTTAAATTCAAATTCTACTTACTTTCAGAATTGACTTTGCTTACCTAATTCCCTTCCCGACCACAAAATTTTGCAAATTAGATTTCACCTTTCCCTCGCTCTGACTTGTCGAAAAATTATTTGTGGCATCCGGCGCCGGATCTTAGTCTGCTCGTGATCATGTTGCCTACCTTTATTACTTGGTGACTATAGCACCTTTTAATTCCCTCTTCCCTTTGGGACATCCGACTACGTAATCTATCTTGCCCTCCCTTTCATTCATGCACTTCTTTCAATGTCACAGTGTCTTCAGAGTACTCTAAATATGTGGAAAGTTATTGAGTGCTTATTCAATTTAAGTACCCAGCAAATAATCTGAGAACGTCTATCAACGTGCCAACGTTATGAAAATAAATGTTTCTAATTCGGAAAGCTGTCTAAATCTGGACGATTCTGTACGATTAATTCTATTTAAAGTCTCCACAGACTATCACACAAGCATAAAGCAAGGCTAATCACAAATAATAGTTTAAAATCAATTTACAAGTTGTGTCCGTACCTGTATGTGTGGGCCACGTGTCGCGTGCGCTTCGTGCCTACTCGATGCAGGAGCTGGCACGACTCATCGGCCTGTTCTATTTCCGTCTGTCCCCAAATATTTCTGGCACACACTTGGTGCGTACAAGTGGACTCCGAGCTGTTTCGCGACGAGAGTGTGTCATTCATCGGCACGTTGGCTCATTGTTTTTACTCGTGTGTCAATATATCCCGACGCGTGTCGCTCGCCCAATAGTAAAATAGATGAGTATAGATCGGCATGTGCGTACGGCTGACCACGCATCGTCGCGCGTCGACGCCGTGTCACCGATACATCAATCGTGATCGAACGTTCTAATCGATTAACGACCGCACGCCTCGTCTGATGTGTGCATTCTTCATGTCCTGTTCGGCTGATTGCTGTTTTGATTAAAACATTTATGTTGATTTCTTTCTGCTGCAATAAATAAAATTTATTTTGGTCTTTTGCATTTTTGATGTGCCTTTTACAAGTAGCTTTGAATGAACAAGAGTTTTAGTATTTAAAAACTATAATATAAGTAGGTTTACACCACACACACTAGGTAGTTGGCAAACACATCACAGACAATGCCGATGAGGTCATTTGTGTCTTTCCTAATGAGTGAGGCTGGCACACTGAAGATATTCATAGTAAGTAAACTCGTGATATAGTTTTCGGTCTTGAAAATGGAAGAGGTGGCATTTGGCAGCGGCTGGCGCGATGGAGTAACAAGGTGTGGCGCGTGCCGACTACCGGCGGACGCCGTTACTTTCGAGGGTTGTTCGTTATACACGTCATAGTTCCCGAGAGCACTCCGCCGCCTTACTGCTCTCACCTTAACGAGACAAGCGTCTCGCTTCATTGACGTCGTTTTCGCTTTAATCGGGCACCAGTGCCAAGTCACGGTGAGATATACTTATCTCCGAATTCCTGTCCTTTGCTTTCTATATTCGGCACATTGCTTTCTCATCGAACACAGTTTCTTTATCTCTTGGATCCCAAAGCAGTGATGAAACTGACTCTCGACTAACCCCTTATTGTATTGCAAGTGCGCATTGTTGTGTTATAAAGGACACGGAGAGGGTAGCGCGCTCGGTTTGCTCCTCCACTATCACACAAAAATGTTATTAGTTTTGGGAGGTTATTGCCCACCCTGCGCTCGTACGACCCTCCCGATGCCCTTCCCGAACAAATAGGCCATATTGAAAGTTTTTGTTTAATTTTCTGGATTTCATATAAGCAATCTTACGTTAAAGTGCGCATTGTGGCTTTATTTAGGCAGTTTTTCTCATTAGGTGTATGTAATATACCTATATTATGAGTTACATGTAGGTGAACGTAAATAGTTACAACTACATGCAAGTTTTATTTAAAGCAATGTAGCATGCAGTTAAAGCTTAAAATAAAAGCTCGTGAATGAACAAAAGGCATGTTAAACGAACAAATGTAGAGGCATAGTGATCGAAGAGCAATTAATGTGTCGTAATGCGTTTGGCAAGCGAGCGTGGCGCGGTCATCCGTCTGAGGTGGCCGGCCATTTGTATCCGCGCGGGCATCCGTCACGCTAATCGCCGTGCCGATACACCTGCAGCGGCATGCAATCGATGGACATTATTTTTATGTAACCCTATCCAAATTTTAGGGGATTTAACTATTGGTATTGTATAACTATTTTCTAAATCGAAATACATACATAGCTAATCATGAGAACATTAAACTTAATTCAACCAATACGAATGCAGCTGAATGGTTCCAACAATAAACTTATCTCCAACGTTTCCCAAACTGTAGCAGCTAATAAATAGAAGTTTGATAAACCCAACAGAGTTATCACAGTAATGATGAAACGTGATCACCCATTCAAGTTTCACAAACGGGTTGGTTCGAATCGAAACTCGGCTAAAGTAGACGGCACGGAGTAACAGGAAATAATAACTTTATCCCGAGCTTAAACTGTGAGAGGACCGTCCAACTAACATTATGCCTGCCAGTAACAAGTTAATCTAAATGCAGCCGACTGCTTCCACTAGCTAGTTGTAGCACGCATCGCCGAAGTTTAATAACTGAGAAAATTCGGAACATGTCTGCATCTGATTCAGCTGCAGCCAAAGATTCACACTTCACGATGTTTGCTCGCGATACCCTGTATCTGGTTACGTAGATGTCTGCAGGATAGTGATATCATCGGGCATGCTTTGAAAAAGTTACTTACTAAATCACCCCAAAGCAGTTCCGTGGACATTATCAGCAAGGGAACCCTAGTGAAGTACTGAATATTCAGATGGCGTTTGTTTGTATACGTATTTCTTTGAAACTGCGATAAGCGCTTTTCCGTTTTTTTACTGAATAAAATATGGCGCAGGAGGCTCGGCTTGCGACGATAAAACGTCCGCGAAGCTCTTCCCGTCACGTAGTGCGACAGTTAATTACACGGATGTAAATAAATCATCATAGACGGGTGCGGCGGAGGGCTTCGATTCCGAAAGGCAATTATCTCGCGCCTCATTGACGTCGAAAATGAGCGGAGTGAGGAGCGCGGCCGCCCCCAACGTGCCTCAGAAATATTTGACACCGCCTAAGACGCGGTTATAAGGAAAAATCGAGTGGAGGATTTCTGGTGGCTACGTGCCCGGCTCACGGCAATTGTGATGCATGGAGGGATTTCCGCACATTCGGCCGATATTGAGCCGAAACCGCGGTCGCCCACCGCTCTGCTACACATATTGCTTATCGGAATGATATCGAATGAGGTCCGCCATTTTCGTCTTTTCTCAAAGCCATGAACTGTCGGTTACCTGGGGAGTATACCTCTCATATCTATTGCATTTTCCATTTATGTGCCATAATAGTGTCGTTGTCGCCCTCTTATGTGAACGTAACCAAACATTCCGGTACAGATAGCAATCGATGGGGTGAAAACCTTATTAGCAACAACTTTTTATGATGTAGGCGCACGAGGGCTTTATTTAAGTTTTTAATCGACGAGCTGTATCTAATTGTAAATATTTGTCATTTCCAGGGTCGGTGTAACCGCGAGAAACCACCTTGCAAGTACTTCCATCCACCCCAACATCTGAAAGATCAGTTGCTAATCAACGGCAGGAATCATCTAGCACTGAAGAACGCACTAATGCAGCAGATGGGCCTGACGCCCGGCCAGGTGCTGCCTGGCCAAGTCCCCGCTGTGGTGAGTCACCCAAGCTACGCTCCCTCCTACTACTACCGAAGCTTCGAGCGATCGGACCTCCACACTAATGTAGGTATTCTATGCACGCAACACGCAGCTTTCGGTGTTATCCGCTATTTTGTATCTTATAAGCGTTCTTACTATTGAAACACGTAGACTTAATAAAGTATCGTGTTTAAGTTGTGCCTCGTTTATACTCGTACCTACACGTAACTAGTTAGATACATATCAAATACTAAGTTACACATGGACTCTGTGCATTGAAAATATTTTCATCCGTAAGTAAATTAACTCGATTCCCTCGTAAAGTTTTCTCAGAAAACTTAATCATGTGCACGTTGAAAGTTAATGGTAATTTACTTTCTTCAAGGCGGCACAGCCGTTCCTGCAACTAGTTCCGCGCTTTAATTTAAAGTTTCGCTTCGAGTGCGTGAACCTGCTAAACAAAGTCAGTAGTAATCTGTGTATTTATTTTAGAATATAGATACCTACCTAGTCTACTAATTTGCGGGCACAACTTAAACTTTGCCGCCCGAGGCCGATCGCTCCCCACTGCTTGAGCATGTTTGTACGAATCGTTCCTTAAATGGCATGACTATTCTCCAAACTTACTCACACGTGTATGATCTGGGTATAAGCGGTAATGCAGATTTAATCACCGGACATCGTCCTCCTCACTATTCACTCTGTCGCTAACTATGCGGCCCGACACACTCCTCGACCTTCCTCTTCGCACTGCCTGCCGCCGCGCGCCGTGCGCTTACCGCATCCGTAGTTTTCGTTGATATCTCTCGCATCTCTTAGTAGAAGATCGCAAGTGTCTCGTGGTGTTAGGGATCTGCCGAAGGTCGGTGCGAAGAGTGAGGTGGAGGTGATGTGCAGTCCTGGCCTCGCACGATGAGTAGCGTGTTTGTGTGGTTGTTTGAGGTGGGCGGCGTGGGCGGTGCGGGCGCGGCTGCCAGCCACCTCGCCGCGCTGGACCCGATCAGTCTGGCGTTGCTCGCCCCGCAGGTAACTGCCGCCGCCGCCAAGCGTGACGCACTACCGCCGGCCGCCTCGCCTCCAGCGCCTTTTATCCTTTCACACGTGATAGAATACACCTACAGCACCATAATGCACTGTTAACCTAGGATTTTGACCCTTTTTGCATCCTTTCCTGGTTCACCCTTCCTTTTGTCTTCTGGTGGCCGGTGGGTAGCTAGACTGGATAAACCGTATGCTTATTTAATATTTCTATTTGTTTCTTTATGATGCATGTGATGGCTTGTTTGGCTAACAGATTTCTGGTTAAATAAATCTATTTGTTTTCGATGTTTGTAGGTGTATAGCAGCTTTTGTAAATGTTGTATTCAATGCAAGCATACATTGGGCTTCCTAAACGAACCAATTGTTTAAAATGTATTCTAGCAAAATATAACATAAGATATGGACATGGTGTAGTGTCGAGTACGCAAATGTACAAGTATACTGAGTGTTAGTGTTGGTGTGGTGTGCAGGCGACGTCACCGTACCTGTCGGGCGTGCCGGGCGTGGGCTCGACGTACGCGCAGTATTACGCGCCGCAGCTGGTGCCGGCTGTGCTGGGCCACGACCCCGCCGCAGCCGCCGCCTCGCCGCTCGGCGTCATGCAGCAACCCGTGCTGCAGCAGAAGCTGCCGCGCACCGACCGCTTAGAGGTAAGCATACCTTACAATATCACTCAACTCACTGTCAACACTCGAGTAGTGCTTCCCCATGTTGCCACATATGCCGGGGACCGACCGATATTTATATTATACTGTGTAATATTACTTATTAACTATATGTATTTCCCATTTAATTGTAACTGTATTGTTAGGTGCAATAAAGAATGTCGGTCCCCGTAGCAAATCTGGGCTGATATTGCCGTATGCCCGTCCCCGTGTGTCTGTGGCGCGCGGGCGCACTGACCCGGTGCGCCTGCGTCTGCTTCGCGAGCAGCACTCGCTTACTCCCTCTGGCGAAGGACCTACACTGTTGGCACAAACTCGGCCTATGTTGCGCACGCTCATATCTGCATATAGGTGTGTAGTCGAGCCATTATTTCGCACCGACTAATTAAGTGTCGATTTGCGCTTACAGTGTAGTCGTGCCGAACGCTTCACTTTCGTTATTGGACAACTGTAGGCAAAAGATTTAGGGATTAAAAGCTAAATTATCTTTCTCGACCAAAAGTAATTTCAAGATGCGACGGATGCGTAAATCGTTAGATTCGAAAGTATAACAACCGATTTGATGAAAAGTATCAGAAAGCGGCGTCGGGTCGAGGTCAATGATACAAGTAAATTGTATGATATGACTAAAAAGATGACATTGCCACACATAGACTTAGTTTACGCGTTACCTATATCAGAGTCGCGGTCGCGTCTTAGTAAAGTATTCGCAAGACACGTGAGGCATTGCTAAGAAGTGGTCGCATCGCGTGGTGTCGCGTGGCGCGCAGACGTGAGTGTAGGCAGAGGGTAGATGAGCGCGGGGCGCGAGCGGCGGACATGGCTGGTGTGTGGTGGTGCAGGTGTGCCGGGAGTTCCAGCGCGGCGCGTGCAAGCGCGCCGAGACCGAGTGTCGCTTCGCGCACCCGTCACCGCCCGTGGCCGCGCACGACGACGGCTGTGTCACGGTGTGCATGGACGCCGTCAAGGGCCGCTGCGTCCGCGACCCCTGCCGCTATTTCCACCCTCCCCTGCACCTGCAGGCGCACCTTAAGGCGCAGGCGCGCGGCGCGGTACGCCACCAGGCTGCACGCTCTCGCCTCGCTCGCTCGCGCTCGCTTCTGTTCTTCCGCTTGGTCTCGCTCGCCGCGACGCCGCTTACGTTCGCAGAGCTTTGTTCTGTTCAGTTCGCGCCGGCTCGCGCCACGCTTCCGTCGCACTCACGCTTCACTTTTATTTTATTTTTATCTATCGCATAATATCACCTTACGCCGAGCTTTAGGTGTATTCTGTGCATCTACTACATCGTTATTGTTTCTGTCCCGTCCTGCGACGCTTCGCTTCACGTAGACGGCCGCCGCAGCCCAGCAGCCGACAGCGAGCGCGACTTCGGAGCCGGGCAAGAAGCGGCCGGCGCCCACCGAGCTCGAGCCGCCACCGGTACAACGCCAGCTTTGCACGCTTCTCCTCCGCTCCCAGTCCCGCCCGCACGATCCCTCCGCGCGCCTCTCCCTCCCGCAGCGGGCAGGCGGCGGCGCGGCGCGACGGACCACCCCCGCCCCTCGCGCCCCGCCGCCCTCCGCCCGCACCGAGCCATCCGCCCGGAGCCCCCGTTCAACCGTCTGTTTCTCGTTTCAGATGGACATGAAAAGCGTCGGATCCTTCTACTACGATAACTTCGTAAGTATAACACGATGGTAACTCTTTCATTTTTGAACCAGAAACTTGTCACACGTTTCTCACATCACATTTTACTTCTCACAGGCCTTTCCCGGCGTGGTGCCGTACAAGCGACCCGCCGCAGACAAAGCGGGTGTACCCGTGTACCAGCCGGCGACGACCTATCAGCAGCTGATGCAGCTTCAGCAGCCGTTCGTGCCCGTATCATGTGAGTACCCCGCACCCGCCACGTCCGCCCCGCCGACCGCGAGTGTCCCGTCCAGTGCCGCGCCGCCGCCGTCCGCGGCCGCATCCGCGCCTTCCGCCGCGGCGCCCACTCCGCAGCCGCCCGCCCCGGCGCCGCCGGCTCCCTCTCCGCCCGCCGACCCAGGCACGCCAGACCCCGCCGCAATGGCTAAAGAGGTGGCACAGAAGAACTACGTGGCCGCGCTAGCATTCGCAGCGCAGCATTCTGCCATGGCCCAGGCGGCGGCGGCCTACACACAACAGGCGCTGAAGGCGCAAGCGCGTGCCGGCATGCAGCACGCGGGACTAGTGCGCGCCCCACACATGATGGTGCGGCCGGGCTGGGCGCCGCCCATGCCGGTGCCGTACTACCAGCAGCCCTTCATGTACGCCGTGCCGCCGCCCGCCCCGCCCAGCGCGGCGGCGGCGGCGGCTGCGGCGGCGGCGGCCGTCAACCCCTACAAAAAGATGAAGACCACATAGAGATCGCGCGGTCGGCGGGGCGCGGGGCGCGGGGTCTCCGCGTAGAGACTCGTACTGTGCGGCCGAGTGTCGCCCCGGCCTGTCGGGGCAGTTAGCGCTAGGCGTGTTGTCACATTTGTATTGTATTATTGTAAGGACGAAGCGAGCGGCATCGCCCTCGCGGATGTCTCGGTAGTTTTACGCTATATATATATACTACTGTATCTCTACTCACTTACCGTTATTACCCTATGCGTGTATATTTCTCGTATCTACGATCCCGGTAATAATAACGCTTGAGATGCATGACTGTACGTTTTTTTATTACCTCTTGTCGATCGTCGTTTATCGTGAATACCTATCGTCGTACTGAGAGTTGAGCGCTTGGTCCGTCGATCCCGCTACGTACACGCTTGTTCTCGAAGGAGCTCCGCACGGGTGCGCTTTGGCCGATGTGTCGCTCCCGTACCTACTAGTGGTTACCGGCTTGCAGCAGCAGGCCCGCACCTAACACAGCCGCCTTCTAATTTTCGCATGGAATAGAATCCACCACCCCTATACGTTTGGCTCATCAGGTATTATTCTCATTATTCTAGTGGCTCCCGTGTGCGCTAAGTGTGGCGAGTTCATCAGTAGTGGCGCGGGGGCGGCGTGCGTCGCCCCCGCAGTTTTTGTTTCAATCGCACCTCCTTCTATTTATTTTAAACGCTTTCTGTTACATGCCTTCCGAATGACGCTTCGGCTGTCGTCCGCATTGCAATCTTTTGTCGCTTTTTGTGTCGGGCGTCAGGCTGTGCGCCCCCGAACGCGCCCTACGTGGTGTACACCGACGAGCGCGGACAGGTAACGAGTGCCGCACCGCCGCACTCCCGCGCACTCCCCGCGCACTCCCCGCGCACTCCCGCGCACTCCCCGCGCACTCCCGCGCATTCCACGCTCATTCCGCGCTCACTCCGACGCTGCCGCTTTGTTGTATTACTGCGCGTCATTACACCACACTCTAGTAAAACAACAACTACTCACATATTCTCTATCAAACTGACTATCAGCAGCAGTTCTAAGGCTGCTTAATTATTGTTTGCAACACCCTGTTTCAATTTAAAGTCTATGTAATTTTAATATCTACATATCTGATTTGGTTGTAAACTTACAATAACGTTGTTTTTGCTATTCTGTGGTGTCTTCCCGTTCTGTATTCAGCAAAGTGTCGTGTGAGCTGAGCTCAACGCTAACACATTAATAGATTAGACGCAAGCCCTCCACGGCACAAACCCTGCGCTATCCCGCGCTGTACCTCGCAGTGTCCCGCTATCCCTCGCAGTCCCCCGCAGTCCCGGTTCACGACCAACATGCCTCGCTCTAACCAGTACGCTACCAAACGCATATCACCTCCTACACCTCTGCGTTTACTGCTTATTATGTTTTGTTCAGAAGCTCGAAGTCAATTTATTAATTACTCAGTGTTTTGAAAGTAAATCCTGCTAACTGATTTGTTTTTGTAATTGTGTGTTATCGTAAAATGTTATTGGCCTAACATTAATTAGTACAGATTAAATGACAATATACATTTTTCACACAAATAATCTAAATTTTTGATATCCTTGTTACACAAGCCTATAGTACCATGTGTAATTTAACAAATGAAAGAAGTAAATCAAGCAACTTTGAGTCCGCATAGATGTTCAGAGCTTGCTTCTTCACTCGGCTTCAGTAGAAGTACTGTTTTAGTTTTAGTTTGTGGCGCTTCACGCGGGCTTAGTAGGCTAAACACTCGCTTGATAACAACGAACCACGAAAGTCACACGATCACCACACTACAGCGGGATATGGTGCGCTTGGTGAGCTTGTTCTATTAAACCTGACGACACGCGTCGAACGAAGACTATGTGGATCACGAGTTAATGTCGTCACCATACTAGCATCGTCTGCTCTGACGGTATCTTTCCTTCCTGCCGACACAGGTGGCAGGCAGGCCGCGTATCTATTCGGTGACCTCTTGATATATCCGGCACTACAGTACAGTGGAGGTACGAGGACTCGACCGACCGCCACTGGCCGCCACCGACGGTCGCCGACTGGTGGCGTCGCTTGTCAACCGTCTCATGATAATATTTCTTTGTCATCATCACACCATCTAGTCATTGTGCTGTAACTGTATCGATATATATTGTAATGAACAGTTGATGCTACAACTTACTTGTTGATGATTTTTAGTTTTGTATAGTGAGACATACTTGCTTTCAAATGTGGAAGAAGTCACTCTACAGTATTGCCTTGCTTACACCCGGTAAGATACAATCAGCTTACTATAATATCCTCAGTATAAGTTATTTCCTGTTTGCAGCCTATACTGAAACACGCCGCTTGTCACTCGCATGGAGTTGCAAATAATAATAACTTGGCTCTCTTTTCTTAAACTTGCTTCTAAAACTAATGAACTCGGCAGTTTCAGTAAAGGTCACTTTAATTATTGAAATTTAACGAAGCCATTTTATATACCACTAAACAGTTGGCCTTTTCAATAATGTACTCACACTTGCCTAATTTACATGTAAATAATACTTTTAATATTATTAAAATGCTTAGTCAACTGTTTAGTTCTAATTGAGTTCACCTTTTGGCCAATATCAACTATCAACTGCTAATAAGGGGGTTTTTACACTCATTTAAATGCTTTTTGTAAACAGTTATTTTACGCGTAGTTGGTAGTTGAAGTGACGATGGTGAAATAAGAAAACTCGAAGTGATATTATGACATAGATAATAGAGTATTTATTGTAAGTGTAGGGTACAGTATTTCTGTAGTCCTGTAGTAATTCATTCGTAATGTAATGTGTACGCAATCACTTCGAATTTTCTGTGATAATGCTTAAAATGCTTCGCCGTTGCGGCTTCAATTCCTCGCTTACGACTTGTTGAGGCCTCTCTGACGCTTGTTAAAGTGTTCACGTAGATGTAATAATATACTTGGTTTTCTTTTGTTTGTCGTACAGTAACCGCACTCTCTAATGGTCATTATGTTGCAGTTTGTACTACCACTAACATGTCACGTCCAGAACTGTCATGTAAGCTAAAGGTATAAATTTAATTTGTCTATTTACATTATAACCATGGCAACCTACCGATAAGCATGACGTCCTCTGTTCCTCTACTGAGAACACCGGGAGATCTAAATTCATCACAGCCGACGCAGACCTCTCCACACACAGCCTCTTTTAGCTTTATATAGCAACAGTTGGTATTTATGGGTACACTTTGGACGCTACAAAACCTCTAGTACGCCCTCGCCCTGGTAAAAGTTGTCTAGCATCATGCTTAAGCTTTTTTGTAAAATATAGTCACGCTTAAATAAGATTGGCTGCGCAATAATGATTATACTTCAAGCGTTCTGCATGCCATTTAGATATTATATATTCATACCTATGTGCATAGTGCAGCGTACTTAACACTACTCTCTGACGGTTATGGAAGCTCGTTCACGAGAATAACTCCAGCAGTGGGCTCTAATTTACTATTCTCTTTAATGTTGCATACTATTACCTCAACAGTACTACAATATAAAGGTGACACACATAATATACAGCGCGCACGTAAATAAATCAAAGAATGCTTGGAAGATCCAATCATATTGTGCAACGAATCTTGTAAAGTTCTTGTAATATTGAAGCAGCAACAAGATTTGATTTCGAGCAATTTTCGCCTTCCGTGTGTCCCGTTTTGTGTTAATTTTATGTAGCGACTGAGAAACTACACACGCATACTTTCCTTCCATACGAATATATATTGACGACATGTCTCATCCGACCGACACGAGCAGGGAACCTTAATTCAATACAATGTGATAGGTGTAGTCGAACGATCATTACTGTTATTTGCTCTTTGATATTACAAAAACTATTTCAGCGTTATTTTTCAGACGGCTGTGCAATGAGGATAATAATCAGTGTCAGATGTATGAATGTCCAATCAGTGATGAAATAGAATTTAGCATTAACACTATTAACATAATAAGTTCATAAACCGTCGGTTCCATGTCTCTTACACTCTTACATATTGACACTAACTTTTTTAAGAGTAGCTTGTATTTGATCTTTTGTACTTATATCGACTGTTTATGAAGTAGATTATAGTTATAAGAAGCATACAGACTGTTGTTCCACAATGCGAATTTGACTCTTGGTGTACATGAACCCGAATAGCGGTTTTGTTATGTGGAATTGATGTCTATCATTAAGAAGAAAGGGCTCTAAAAGTATATTTACTTTCTCCATATTTAAGCAAACGAAATTGCAAAAGTTTTACAACGAAAAAGTCAACGAATTATTTTATGAACATTGCCAATGTGCTGAGAAATGGTGAGCCTAAGTTACATTAGACTAATTACGTATCTAATTAATATGCACCAAAGAGAAGAGCAAGCATTGTGGAAGCGGCTGGACTGTATGATATTGAAATTGAGTAACGACAATAATACTAATGAAGGTGTTGTTATATTTGCAGTTACTGGACACCCTCCCGGTGTGCCAAGATTTTAATCGACAAGGATGTACAAGACCTACCTGCAGATTTGTTCATATTCGTGAAGGTGAGGACCAGTTTCAATTTCTCATTCACTCTCTAGTAACTCTCATTCTAGCAAGACAGTCGAGTCAAAGTCATTCTTATATTTGTTAAACTTGTTACTAATCAATTGACAGAAATGTGTCAAACGTTTCAGATCATCGATAGAACAGTCCCCTCTCCCTTCTCCTTGTATATCTGCATGTTCACCACATTTTGTTGTTTCATTCATAGCGTAGTTTTACTATCTTTGACAGTAGAAGACTATCCGTAGACTGAACTACATTTAATCAACTTAGTTTAGATATTTGTTGGTTGGGTACATTATAACTGTATTGTACCAGTTTTTCAAGATTAGTTCAGTTAGACTAGTTTTCAATAGTTTTAGTATTTGCTTGTCTATTCATATACTCTGTAGATTTTATACATCAATCTATAATATGCACTAATTTTCATGTAGTATGGTTTTACTAAAACCAAATAGTCAACTTAGATTAGCAAAGTCTTAACACTACCCATTGTTGTCCCCATTATGATGTGTCTCTTGTGATGATGAGGAGTTTGTGTCGTATGGCGTACTGAGGCGGCGTGGCGTGTGTTGCAGGGTGCGGGCTGCAGGTGGTGGGGTGTCGCGTGGTGGTGTGTCGCGACGCCGCGGCCGGCACGTGTCGCCGCGCCGCCTGCCGCTACTACCACATCCCCGTACAGCTGCCGCCAGCGCTGCGCCCCCCCTAACCTGCCCCCCCGCCACCCGTCCACCGCCGCACCCGAGCCCTCATCCCTCCTCCCCCTCCCTCACCCCTCCATCTCCACCTCCACGTGATCCGACCCATCCCCGCATCGCCCGCGCCCCGCGTTATCCATATCGATCGCGCCTCTGGCACACTCGGGAAAGGCAGGTTCGGCAAGTATCCTACTGTCGCTCCCGCGGCTGAGGTGGTGATATCTTAGTGAATATCGGTTAGTGTAGAGCGGCCGGGGCGGGCCGCGTGCGCAGTTAGCGCCGGCGCCCCGCCCCCGTCTGGAGAGCGTTATAGTCTTCGGGAAGAGTGTGTACATAAGTAGCGGGATATGATTCTCAGGCACGGTCATACGATTGTGATATGAATAGATTTCGAGACGCCGGAGCCGTTTGAGTAATTTTATCGAGATCGTACCGAGATCGTCGAATAGTAGTTAGTGAGGTTTCAAATGTTTTATTACTATTGTATATTATTTTTTTTAAGATACGATATGAGTTCCTGTAAAGATCAGTGCAGTCGCCATCGGGCGCTGCACGTAAACTTTGTTGTATATAAGCAAGCGGTGTAATGTTTATGGGTGGTGCGGAGCGCACCGTCGCCGCCGGCGCCGGTCCGTTCGCGGCCGGCGGCCGATGCCGGTGTCAAAAGTTGCATCACCCCACTCCTAACGTGAGCATTTTTGTGAGAATTATGTTACTTTTTTACGTATGTTATAAATTTATTTTTTTCTAGATGACAAGTTTTACACTAGATTAGATTAAGTGAGTCAGTAATGAAACACCAATAGAGTAGCCGCTTCTCTCCCTCGGCACTGAAACTTTTGACGCCGGAGCACAACTCGCGCGACTGGTGCCGCGCGTTCGCTCGCTGCGACTAGTCGGTACGTCGTTCTTCCCTTATGGAGCCATCCCGTTCGCACCACATCCCACGTCCCACGACGCGCGTGCGTCGCCCAGTTCACACTTTAGCATAGATCGCGACACTCGTAGAGTGATAGAGGACAGAAATTCATAATACAATGAACGTTATCGGACAATATTAAACGAAGAAGGCATACTTCCAAGCTATTTACCTAAATTCTAGGATAGAACGTCGGCTTTTATTCCAGATAGATTTTGCTAGATAATCATTCTTTTACCGGTCGATTCCCGTCTATCGATGCACAAAATATTACCGACGATCGAGTCCGATTACCTCTCGGTGATGACAGCATAAAGAAATAGCTACCTATATTGTTTTCAACACAACAGTATTAACGTTTTGATCAAATTTATCTCGTCGTATGTATGTAGAGGTGATATGCGGATAGAGAGAGAGGCGGGTGCGCGCGCGCCGTGTCGCGTGTGTCGCTCGAGTCGCTAGTGTCGCTCGCGGCCAGTATACTGTATAGAGTCGCAGTGTCGCACGCACGACGCGGCCGGCGCGCGCGTCCCGAAGGCATGGAAGCCTAATGCCTAATATTATTCCTAGTCCATATCCTTTTTGTTGATCAGTCATGCGATTAATGTTAGAATAAATATTAATAATTTGATTTATTCCTCCCATTTAGTGGATATTTTGATAATGATATATTAATAATGAAATATTTAAGATACATAATACATATTTGATTCTAAATCCTGATAAAGTGACACTACGTTAGTAATTTAATCGGAGGGATACTTGTGCCGTGATTATATTTTTAGGTATATATTATGAGATAATTCCTAGCGTCGGAATTAAACAAGTGATTAATGTGTAAGCGTGTTATATTTATTGTCGTAACGTAAGTGGAATGCCATATCGATAAAAGGTGAATATCGGATGCGGAGTCAAACTCATTAGTAACTCGTTGCGTTTGTGTTTATGTTGATTGTTATTATCAGTCCCGTGCTAGTGGCTAAGTGAACAGTTCACTTTTATCAATACGGCACTATGAGTCTTAAATATATAAGTTGTCATATTATTTTTTGTTAAAATTTATCGTTTCATGATTTATTTGTTGCCTATAATTTTTATAATCAAAATTTTATGATCTGACGCATTTATTGTAAGACAATCGATTACTTTTATAATTAATTAGTGTGATAATAATAATTATGGTATCAAATTGCCGTTATGAAATATAGAACATCGAAAGTATCCTTCCTGTTTAGAAGGGACTCTTCTGGCCCAAGGTTTCTAGTGGATTTTATATTTTTCTTTTGTTGTATTTTTAATGTTGCGTGTGTCTTACACATAATATATTTCATTTTTGTGATATTTTTAACTATAAAGTACTGTTATTATAAATCCAAATGGAATAATGATGACCTAATTAATATTCAAGAATTTATTTGTAAATCACAAAAAAAAATGTAAAACTGTAAATATATTGACAAAAAAATGAACTGCAACACAATAATTGATTATTATATCTCTCATCAAATACACTGTAAGTTGTTTGAGTACCTAAGTAATGGTATCTTATTATGTAGTATGTACCTACAATCTACTTATTGTAAACCGGTCCAGTGAACAAAGTATTGATAATATTGTGAACATTTTTTTATTCACGAACAATCACAGAAAGTACATGACATTGTAATATTATTTATGAAATTACTATGTGATGTGATCTTCGGATCAATTTTGAGTACAGTATAGATAATAAACAACTGAATATGTGATTTATGTCTTTCATTCATTCTATGTTTAATTACCTATCCCATACAGTAAAAGCAGATTTAAAATAATTCTAATTTCAACTCTATGTCATCGACATAAAGCTTAATACCGAGTCACCGACAGCAAATTTTGCAACCTATAAGTTGTGGTAAAGGGTGTCTTATAAAACTTCTTAATCCTGTATCTAAGATTCTGCTTTACAAGTGTTTGTGGTGTTCAGAGAGAAAAAATATATTTCTTGAAAAGGAAATATCAATCTAATAGGTTAAAATAGTAAGACAAAATGCTCAAACCTTACAAAAACTAATGAAAGCTGAGAATTAAAAAATCGATGAACTCTATTGTTAAGTTACTTATTTTTTAACCTGGAAATCGAACTAGAGTAATCTTATTAGGCAGTAGCTCTTGAAATAATATGAAAAAAAAACGAAAGAATTAGTTTAATACTTACGAATTATTAAAACCACCGCAATAGAAAGCCGAAAAATACCGTGTGCGACAGTCTGACAGTCCACTACGCAATAAATTATAGGAGTTTGGTAATATCCACGGTTGTCAAGTGGAGAGGAATTGGGAGACATAAGTTTTGCGGAAGACAACGGGTTACTGACTCTGGATCGAAGAACCTCTCAGTAAGTATGACACTCCCTCTCGCCTCACCTAAGGCGGGACAAGTCATGGATGATTTCTCCCCAGGCTTGTCAGAAAGCACTGTTGATTAGTCTGTGTCAAATGTGTAGATTCGTCGCGGAGAACCTAAAGGGTAACCGTGGCTCCGGCTCGACGTGCAAGAGAAGGAACGGGGTGGTTTTTAGTCAGTAAGAGTCTGACACGCCCTTCCGCCTCACCCAGGCGGGAGCAGTCATTCGATGATTTTCCCCCCTTAAAAAAAAAAATGTGTAGATTCCCCCTTACTCTATAAACTGTCATTCTGCATTCTGCCCTGCACCACACGATCATAATTCGCTACTCAGTTATTCCTCTTACCTGGAACTGGAACGAACAATCTAATAAAATCTGTTCTGGAGCGGAAGGGATCCTTCAAAGCGGCCGTGACCCCCATACGCGTTTCATTACTGCGACCTAAAAGATTTTGAGGTCGCACCACTTGTAGGTACTTAGTAAGACACGTGGCGGGAGACGATGACGACATTATTGACGAACCGTGCAATTTTAGTTGCGCTGTTTTCTATCTACGTTTTATTTTTTAATTTTTAAGTGATATAAGTTTTTGCTTTGAGTTATGGAGTTTAATGAGAGTAGGAGAGTACGGTTGACTGCCTCGTTGGACGAGTGGTCGCAAGTGCGACTGCCGGGCAAGGGGTCTCGGGTTCGATTCCCGGGTCGGTAAAGTATTACTGGGTTTTAAAAAAAAATCTCAGTAGTAGCACGGAGTCTGGAAATGTGTCTGGTATATGGCAATAGGCTCACCCCCTATTACATGGGCCTCATAACATAAATAGTAAAAAGTGGACGTTACTTCTGTGTGCACCTCTGCCTGAAAGTACGGTTTAAGGAATTTGCAATGGATATAATGGTTACTATAAAATGAAGGTGTAAGTAAGTATACTGTGAACCAGTAGCTTTCACTTACCCACAGGTACCTTTAATACTCCCTTCTGACCAGTTAAAGTCCTATTTAGATAATACGCAGTAAGCCTATCACGATAAACTTTGCGATAACTTTGATGACTGAACTTACTTGTACTGCATTGATGACTCCTTTATTGAGATTTCGATAACCACCTAAATCCCTAAGAATACTTTACCCGAAAATTGAATCCTAGTCAGGCTTCTTGTTTCACAGTTGGGACCACCCTATCAACGAAATAATATTAATAAAAAATCACGTTACATGGTGTAAACCCTTCGGTTTTTAAAAGATATTATATTTTATTACTTACAATAAATCATTAACTTAATGGACCATTAACTAGTGATTTTTTGATGCGGGAATCGAACCAGCGACACCCAGCACCAGGCACTCAACCCTTGCTGCGACAGTTCAAATGGAATCTCGAATGATATTTATAAAAATCAGCTTATCACTGAGCCCAATAGGGCTGATGCCGCCGAGGACTTAAAGGGTTGCCGGGGCTCCGGCTCGAAGTGCGAAAGTAGGAACGGGGTTGTTTTTAGTCAGTAAAAGTCGGACTTTCCCTCTGGCCTCACCCGGGCCGAAGAAGTAGGTAATAGGATGATTTCCCCTCTCAAAAAAAAACACACACATGATGTGAATCTGAAAACATAAAATAATAATTGATATTACAATGTGTTCCTTATTACCAACACGGGTGCACCGAGTTATCTAAGAATAATAAGATTTTAAATAATGACCAGAAAAAGTGAAGTCATTTCTATAGCTTTCTATAAGAGTTAAAGCTACAAACATTTTCTTTTTTTCATTGGGTAATGCTGCTTAGGTACTATAGGTTTCTGCAAGATCAGGCTGTTGATCCAGGGTATAATGGAGTCTAATGACATAATGTACCGACATTGACTAAAATCGCGGGTTACTCACGTGAATATACTGAGAGCTGCGCGACATCGCCGCGACCGCGCGCGCTGCTCATGAGGAAGAACCCCTCTGTGGTTCGAAACTAGTAGAGCTTTTCTCAGTAAATTCACGTGAGTAACCCGTGATTCCCGTTGAAATCCATCCCCTAAATTTGGTCATACAAAAGTAGTCTCTAAACATTGGAAATAAGGTCTATAATGTAATGTAATATTAGTGGAGAGCGGTCACAGGTGACCGCTTGGGGATCTATGGGTTTAGTTAATTTAGTATGTTTCACGATAGTTATTATAAAAACAATGTACCGACAAACCATTTTCAGTGGCTAATGAGAATGAGCATGACATGTAATAAATACTGTAATAAAAAATTGAATTCCTGTTCATCATCATCATCAACAGCCGGAAGACGTCCACTGCTGGACAAAGGCCTCCCCCTTAGCCCTCCACGTCGAACGACAACTCGCCACCCGCATCCACTGGCTCCCCGCAACTCTGGCGATGTCGTCGGTCCACCTAGCGGGAGGTCTGCCCACGCTTCGTCTTCCGGTCCGTGGTCTCCACTCAAGGACTTTCCTGGCCCATCTGCCGTCAGTCCTTCGAGCGACGTGGCCTGCCCATTGCCACTTCAGTCTGCAGATTTTGCGAGCTATGTCGGTAACTCTTGTTCTTTGGCGAATCTCCATATTTCGGACTTTGTCGCGCAAAGAAACCCCGAGCATAGCTCTCTCCATCGCACGCTGAGCGACTTTGAGCTTCTCCAGAAGGCCAGAGGTCAGGGACCACGTTTCGGTACCATACGTCATCACCGGCAACACACACTGGTTGAACATCCTGGTCTTTAGGCACTGAGGGATTTTCGATGAGAAGATTTCGCGTAACTTCCCGAACGCTGCCCATCCAAGTTGGATTCTTCGGGCGACCTCTTTGTCGAAATTGGACCTACCTAGCTGTATAATCTGCCCTAAGTATGTGTAGTGGTCTACAACTTCGAGGATATCGTTCCCAACGATGACCGGTACAGGTGCAACATGGACGTTTGACATGATTTTGGTCTTGTCCATGTTCATTTTAAGACCCACCTGTTGGGAGACGATATCGAGGTCGCTGAGCATGGTGTTTAAATCCTCCAGCGACTCCGCCATGATGACTACATCATCGGCGAAGCGGAGGTGTGTGATGTATTCGCCATTGATATTGATGCCCAGTCCACTCCAGTTTAAAAGCTTGAAAACGTCCTCCAATGCGTTGGTGAACAGTTTCGGAGAAATCACGTCTCCCTGTCTCACGCCTTTCTGCAATTGGATTGGTTCCGTGCTATCTTCCTGGAGTCGGATGCGCATGGTGGCGTTTCTATACAAACACTTTAGCACCTCGATATATCTGTAGTCGATATGGCATCGCTGGAGAGACTGCAGCACCGCCCAGGTCTCGATCGAATCAAAGGCTTTTTCATAGTCCACAAACGCCAAGCATAGTGGCAAGTTATACTCCTCAGTCTTCTGTATAACTTGCCGCAGCGTATGAATGTGGTCTATGGTGCTAAAGCCTTTCCGGAACCCGGCTTGTTCGGGAGGCTGGAAGTCATCAAACCTGCGTTCCAGACGGTTCGTGATAACCCTAGAAAACAGCTTATATACATGGCTCAGAAGCGAGATGGGTCTATAGTTCTTCAACAAAGAGTTGTCACCCTTCTTGAAGAACAGAACCACTACACTCCTTTGCCATGCTTTCGGCGTAGTTCCTTCGAGAATGACGGAATTGAATAGTTTCTGGAGGACTAAAAGTATCGGTTTTCCACCCGCTCGCAGAAGTTCTGTTGTGATTCCGTCATCACCCGGTGCCTTGTTATTTTTGAGCTGTCTGAGAGCCATCCTAATCTCATACAGGCTGATGTCTGGGATATCCTCGGTATAGTGCCGTGTCAGTTTAGCTCTAGGATCCCGAGCTGTACCGACAATGGGTTGCCGTGTCGAGGTGTATAACTGTCCGTAGAACCTTTCAAGCTCTCTCAGAATCTCTGGCTTCGACGAAACGATGCTGCCATTTTCGGTCTTCAGTTTCGTCATTTGGCTTTGCCCAACAGACGAATTCCTTGCGAATACTTTTGCGCCCTGATTTCGCTCTATGGCATCCCTGACTCGTGCGGCGTTATATGCACGCAGGTCGCGTCGCATAGACTTTGAAATTCGCCTATTAAGTTTGCCATATCCAGACATGTCAACTGAAGACTGCAGCCTCATCTCGTGTCGGTCTTTCAATAATTTAAGTGTTTCTTTCGAGAGCTTTTGAGGTCTATTTCGGCGTGGGTTTTTGAAAAACTCTGAGCCCACCGTTTGGACAGTTTCCACTAACCCATTATTTAACTCGTCAATCGTTTCACACTCAGCCAGGCACTGGAAGCGATTATGCAGTTGGAGCTGGAACTGTTCGGGGTTCTGGACCTGGGCGCGACCAGGACGGAGTGTGGACCTCACCAGGCGTGACCTCTCCAGCTTGACATTGATATTCAGTGTGCCTCTGACAATACGGTGATCGCTGCCGGTTTTCACCTTAGCTATCACAGAGACATCACTGAATATGCGCTTGTCGGTCGCCATGATGAAGTCGATCTCATTTTTGGTGTAACCATCGGGACTTATCCACGTCCACCTCTTAGCTGGTCGCTTTCGGAAGAAGGAGTTCATTAAAAAGAGTCTCTCCCTCTCCATAAAGTCGACCAGCCGCTGGCCCCGACGGTTTCGCTGCCCATATCCAAATGGCCCCATTCTCAGCTCTTCGCCGTTCCGTGTGCCCACCTTCGCGTTGAAATCCCCCATGACAACGGTGAAGTGTGCTTCGGAGGTGTGTATGGCTTGGGAAATTTCCTCATACAGAGCCTCTACTTCATCATCGCAGTGTGTCGAGGTCGGCGCATATACCTGTATGACCTTCAGCGAATACCGGTGTGATATTCTGAGTATAAGGTACGCTACCCTGCTCGACACACTGTCAACTTTACTCACGTTGTTGACGAGGGACTTGCGGACGAGAAATCCGACACCACCCTGGGATTTTTGATCTCCTTCCCGGAAGAAGAGCAAGTTGCCGGAATCCAGGACCATCGTATCCTGGCCCTCTCTTCGGATTTCAGACAGTCCCAAGATGTCCCACCGCATTTTGCTCAATTCTTCCTCCAGCTCGACAATCTTCTCATCGGTCCGCAGGGTGCGGATGTTATGTGTTGCCAGGGCCAAAGTTCGTCGGGGGTGGTAGCGGTTCATCTGCCGGGGATTCTTAGCACCCCCTGCTCCGCCGTTACCCGATCCGCTACCAAGATCAGGAATAGCGGAGCTGCCGGGGACTGGGGGCCGTGTATTTAAGTTGTCGTTCATAGTGAGGGGGGGGGGGGGTTTGCCATAATCCCCACGCTTGGCAGGCGGCTTGGGGAATTCCTGTTAGAAAATAAAAAATATCTTAGCCTGAGGAATATGAGAATACATACGGAGCAGCAGTGTCCTATGTGTATGGCAAGTGAACCAGTTCAATAGTAAATTAGTGACTACTCCTGGAGGCTGGGGAGTTATAGGACAAGTCAGTATGGTAGGTAGGTAAATGTTTTTTAGCCACACCTGATAATAAAGAGTTGGGATTTGACAAAAGTATGGAGTAATAGATTTATCAGACCGATCGCGATGTTAATAAAATAAGTATTATGTTTTTATAACTTTACATATTTAATAGAAAAACGTTCCTTAGACTTATTATAAAACCTTGATATCACCATAAAAATGATGTATGAAGTACGATAGAGGTATTTAGTAAGATATATACGATTAAGAAATGTAGATAGTCGATTATTATTTTACTGCACTAACAACTAGGCCCATGCCTATCTGTTGTCAAACAACTGTCACTGGAACTGTCATTTATGCTACTTGTCATCGCCTTTTCTTTCTTCAGTCAGTGACAGTAATTTTTTGTGCGAATTATTTCATACTTACCTTACAGTATTTCTTTTTCTGATATTCAGTGTTGCGAAGCAAATATGTTTTTTTCAGACCTAATACGTTTAAACGCGTTAAATGCTATATTGTGACTACGGAAATTTAACTTTTACTTGACGTGAATTAGTGTTGAATTAATTTGAACTCGAAACTGGTAAGTTATCGAACGATATCATGGTCATTTACATTGGAAAACGAGTTATATTCTTGTTTTGTTGGTTTTAGTAGCATCAGTTACAAGTTAAGATGTTTGCGAGTTTAAAAAGTAAGATAAAAGAAGAAACTGGTAGCGACATTAGCAAAATAACCAGTAGTTGGCGGAGCGGCGCCTTCTTGGGACGAATAACGCTCAGAGATGATTCTGTAAGTATTAATTCATTGTTTTTACCGAAATAATTAAGTATTCCTATATCGGTACTCAGCGATACCCCTATGACATCTTTACAACAAAAAGACACTTCTTTTAAAATAATAAATGTGCTTGAAATTGGCGCGGCGATAAAATAATCAATTCTATTTTTGCGTATTAATTAAATTTGCCGTATTTCTTATTTATATTCTGTAGATATATAAACTCTAATCACTTACAAAATGTATTTATTACACATACACCTATTAGGCTGTTAATATTAAAAATATTATGATTATATTTTTGTTTGCAGTCAACAGCCAGTCCTTCCAGTTCTGGTGGCCATGGAGACTCCACATCAGATGTAAGTAGATATATTGTTAGGTATATAAATAGTTAGGCTTTATTCTAAGGGGCATTTATTCATAGTAGAACTTGTGATTTCTATGAATGTTTTCAATAACATTTGTTTAATAATAGAGACTGTTTATTGTAACATCAATAGTTATTGTTAATATAATCATTCCTATTTCCTATGATTATTGAAATATCATTGTATATGTTATTATAATGCTGTGACCTGTTATGAGTGCAATTCAATAATGTAAATCACAAACTGTTAATTACTCACATTAAGTAAGTGCTTTAACATGAGAAAAGTGCATTATAAATTATTCTAGAATATAAAGCTAAAGAGTTTGTATGTTTATTTGAATGTGCCAATCTCTAGGGCTACTGGTTAGAATGAATAATTATTTTTGTGTTGTATAAGTCCATTGATCAAAGAGGGCTAAAGGCTATTAAACATCACACTACGATTAATAGGCACCTAGAAAAGCCTAGAAAAGCAAATAAAACCGCGTGAGGTAGCTAGACTATTAATATGTCAACCTCCGCCTTCTCTTTAACCCAATAAAAGATGTGATATTACAATATGAAGAACTAAGAATGAATAATATAAAATCTTTAAACACTACAAGCTTGAAAAATACTAAGTTTTTCTTACAATTAATTCTATTCTTTTACAGTCAATATCTCCGCAAATGGAATCGTACCTATCAGAAAGGACCGGTGGAAGGATAGACCAGGCAGTATTACAGCAACAGTACTCAACGCAGTTGGAGGCTAAACTACGAGAGAGGGATACTTACTGGGAACAAAAGATTGAAGAACTCAAGCTTTCACTAGCATCGGTACAAGGTCAGACATTGACTAATACTTCTTTAAACTATTTCATCATGAAAAAGTAAAATGTTTGCAGTACTATTTTATAACACTAATATTCTATTTTATACAACGAACTTTAGTCAACGGCTTTACACAATGTTACCGTTATTTTATTACCAGCTTTTACCCGCGGCTTTGCTCGCGTCACAAAAGGATAATAAGTAGCCTATGTGACATATACTTATACACACAGCGCCATCTATACCAATACTTTTGTTTTCCTTCGAGAATATCAAATTTTTCCGGCATAAAAAGTACCCTATTATTTAATCCAGACTTCTAACTTTACGTCTGCAAAAATTCAAAGCAATCGGTTTAGTAGTTACGGCGTGAAAGCGGAACAAACAAACAAACTCACTTTCCAATTTATAATATTAGTAAGGACTAGTAAGGATTTATTCCATACCATAATCTACCCCTGTTTCAAATATCATTCCGATCCCTTTAGCCATTTTGACATGAATGACTAACAAACTCACACACAAACTGGAGCATTTATAATATTAGTACGACTTTTAGTGGTTTAGCCAGTTTTCTGCCGGAATAGAGATCTAATCAAGACAAAATATTTTCTACTAGCTGTATCTTGCAACATCCTCGGCATAGAATATGATTCCTGTTTTACGCCATGGAAGCATTTAATCGGGATAAAAAGTATCCTATCACCTAAATCAGCCCATACCCTGCCCTGCCTGTATACCATATTTCATCATAATCCGTTCAGTAGTTTCAGAGTTATTGATGGACAAACATCTAAACAAAGAAAGTTTCACAATTATAATATTAGTTAATTGCTTTTGTAGCTGATAATATCACTGGTAAACAGTGACTATACTTACATATATTTATTGTCTCTTTGTTTATTCATTTCTTATTACCAAATACTAAATGCCCTTAAACAGCAATGTATGTACATTTATGTATGTTGTACTCTATTATAATAAACATAATATTCTAGGTACTTCTTGTAACCCGTATTTACGAATTAAATTAGGTGTTAATACCTTAATATATGAGAAATAAAACTGTGACCTTACCTTCACACTTCAATAGGTATTTGCATAAAATTATTTGATACTAGATTTCTATTATGATTTTCGCGAGACATACTGAATTAATTTAAAATATTTTGCGATTTACATATTGTTTGATAAGGCACCCTTATAAGTTTCAAGGCATTGTAGCGGCTCATACTCTAAAGTCCTTTAAATTATTTTTTAATAAAACATTCTGAACTTTTATTTATTTATTGCTGTTTGTTGTATATGTACAGTTATTTACAACAAAAACAAACAATAAATAAATAAAAGAAAACAAATACATAATAGTAATAAATTTGTAGCGATGTATTTTTATAAATCTGTAACAGCAATTATTACCTGCAGTTTGAAAATAAGTATATAGGTAATAATTATAATAAATTATAAATTACTTTTCCTTCCTTCATTTCATTTGGTTCAGTTGGCACAAAGTGTACCTAATTTTGCTGAATTTATTTCATCAGCTATTCTCAAGCATTTTCACCAACTGCTCATCTCATGTTCATCGTACCATGATGTTTTATGCCCTATATGTTTCCTCTATAAATGGATTATTCAACACTAAAATAATTTTACAATTTGAACGCAGTAGTATTGGAGAATGGCAAGTCCAATCCACGAAACAAACACTTCATATTTATAATATTAGTGTGAAAAATGGGGTGTTTAATCTGTTACCACAATTCATGACTGCTAACTTGGTGTTTATTGCAAGAATTTACTAATTCAAATGTATTATACTAGAGTAATGGACACCTAGTTTTATAATGTTGGTCATAATTAATGAATATTCCTTTCTTTGAATAAAATATGCCATAATCACTTCACTTGGCAAAGAATTACTTGCTTACAGATTGCAGCTAGACTCACTGAAAATATTTAGATATTTATTTTTATTTATTGATACATTTGGAAAACCAACAGCTATACAATTTGATTAAATAGAATGTGGTATGCAATAAAAAGGCAATTACTGGTTTCCACAATTAGTAACAGAGAGTAGAAACATGCCAACACAGTACTAAAATGACTTATCAAACTTATTAAACCGCAGGCTAAATCTATAATGATGCACAAATTACTCCAAATATTAAGGACCGTGTACCTACACACTGAATTAAAGAAATCAAGGTTCAGCTGTCTGCGCACCACAATATATATTATTACCAGTCCCTCATTTACTGTAGTTTAGTAGTTATTTGCTAATAAATTGACAAATTGCAGGTGAAGAAGCAGCGGCGGCTCAAGCAGTGGCTCGGACTGCACAAGCTGAGGCTGCCAAGGCGGTTTTAGAGAGAGACGCAGCCAAGAGACTGGTTACCGAGCTGAAGACGCAGGTGGCAGCTGCTGAACGCGCTCAGGATAGACTTGATGCGCTGAATGTGAGTTTTTATCGGCTGATTATATGTCCTCTATTGTTGCGGGTGTCCATTTGCGGTGCCAATTCCTTACCATCAGATGTGCTGTCTGCTCGCCTTACGATTTACAATTTTATCGGCTTATACTTATTTTTGGAGCAGCAAAAACAAAATGTAATGAGACCCTAAGTTAGGCTTGTACAATCCTTACCAACAATAAGTCTAAAGAATTTGCTGAACAGTTTTATAATAGAACGTTCAAGCGAGGTACAAGCCCGCATCATCTTAATAACCGTGTCGATAAGCAAGCAAACATAATGTGATAATTTCTTTCTTTAAAATAATATGTGAAAATTCACTATAAAAATATTCTTCAACTGATTTTAATAGTTTCTTGTTCAGGGGTAGTATAATCTATTATTTAAGGCATTGGCTGCCAATAAAAAACTGTAGAAGGCAAATCGTCCGCTAATGTCGGTCACCGGTGACTGGCATGGCGTTTAACGTGTTAATCACTACATAGTTTAAAACAAAGTCGCTATCCGTTGTCTGTCTGTCCCTATGTATGCTTAGATCTTTAAAACTACGCAACGGATTTTGATGCGGTTTTCTTTAATAGATAGAGTGATTATTAAGGAAGGTTTATATGTATGAAACATGCATATTGCACCCGTGCGAAGAATATTAATAATTTTATTGAACTTACTTATATAAAAAATATTTATTGAACTTACTTATAATACAGGTGACATATTTTAAGGCTTTCTTACCTACCTAAGAAAATGAATAATTAAACGATTAGACTATCAATAAGTTTAATAAGAAAATGGTTCTACAAAAATGTAAGCAAATGTCAAAGAATTAGTAAAACTAGTGCCACTAGATGTGGTAGATAAGGCACATCCTGCGGTTCCACTCGTGGCTTACTACATGCGCCACATTCAGCATTATCTAATGCCGTTTCCTGTATTGTGTAGTCAGACGACAACAACTATTCTGTTGTTATTCCAAAATATATGCAAGAAAAATATACCTACAGTTTTATTTATAACTCGACGAATCCTCGGAACTGGCGATTTATGAGGATATTTATGTAAAATGAGTAAATATTTACATGAACACAATGTTACACCTATATGCCTATTTACAATGTAACATCCACTTTTCACCATATGTCCCATGTAATTGGTAGTGAACCTGTTTTGCCATAAATATCACTGGGGACAATTCCAGAGTCCGAGATACTATTGAAAAATTATCACTCCATAGGCGGTACCTACCAATCGCCATCAGGCCATCCGCCAACTCGCTTGCCTTCTACCTTATAAAACATTTTATTCCTTATGGCATCGAGCATTTCTTTATTGAACAAAACGTTTTCTTTTTCTTGTATAGAAGCACTATTTTTATAAATTGCCAGTATGCATACAGATGCACACATGCTCACCTGAGCACCATGTTAAACTATAAGATTTTATTTTTATGTTTGTTTTGTTTTTTTGAGCTTGAAGTGTAACGAATGGAGTTTCTTGCTCGTTCTTCTCCATTCGAATCTACATTTTAGAATAACCACCTAGCTTCACTGACGGACTGACAGGCAGACTATTATTTATTTTGTACTAGCTTTTACCCGCGGCTTCGCTCGCATCACAAAAGGATAAAAAGCCAATGTGATATATACCAATACTCACAGCGCCATCTATACCAATACTTTTGTTTTCCCTCGGGAATATCAAATTTTTCCGGGATAAAAAGTACCCTATTATTTAATTCGGACTTCTAACTATACATCTGCAAAAAATCATAGCAATCGGTTTAGTAGTTATGGCGTGAAAGTGGAACAAACAAACAAACAAACAAACTCACTTTCCGATTTATAATATTATATATATATAGTAAGGATTTGTTGACGTTTCAAAAGTACCAAATTATAGTTTATTTGAAATAAATGCTTTGACTTTAACTTATAAAACATACTAAATACAACTCTTCATATGTAGGAGGAGTTAGAACAGAGTCGTCGTGAATGGGCCCGGGAGCGCGCGGAGCTGAGCGGCGCGCTGTCGCGGGCGGAGGCGCGCGCCGCCGACCTGGCGGACAGCCTCGCACTGCTCAGCGCTGCACTGCCGCCGGAACATCCACACCATCATATGGAAGATGACGGTATGTGAGATTTGTTCTTGATTATAATTTCAAAATAATGTCCTCATGAACAAGAGCCTTAATCTACGATCAACTACCGATATAAATCCCCCTCCCACCAACTGCCAGCCATATACATAACATCATGCCTTTTATCCTCGAAGGGGTAGGCAAAGGTGCACATTATACCACTGTACAATGTACAGTTATACCTTTTTCTGTTTTTTCACTATTTATGCTATGAGTCCCATGTAATAGGGGGTGAGCCTATTGCCATATACCGGGTACAATTTCAGACTCCGTGCTACTACTGAGAATATTTAAAAACCCATAATACTTTTCCCGACCCGAGAATCGAACCCGAGACCCCTTGCCCGGCAGTCGCACTTACGACCACTCGGCCAACGAGGCAGTCTGCCTACCAATAGTGGGGATTTTGGTAAACGTCCTCTTGAGACGTAGGCCTTTGTTCCCCAGTATTTCGGTTTGCTCCATTAGCTTAGGAGTTACTTTAAATTTAAGAGAGGTTATTAAATACGAACATTCAACCCTTGTTACCCTCATATCTATCATATCTTACCTACAACCACACAATCTTTTACACAGACAAACGCGAAGTGACTCCGACTGGGTGCGCGGACTATGACCGCGTGTGTAGGGAGCGCGCTGTACTGACGCGACAATTACAAGAAGCTAAGATGGCGCTCGCTGACGTCAAGACCTCGTGGAGTGGACAGATTGCGTCGCTAGAGACACAGGTATGCTTTGGACAAATTATTGTTAAAAAAATATACTACGAAAATTCTATGAGGCAAAAGTTCTAAAGAAGGAACTGTTATCTCGTTAGGTGTTCAATGTAAACCAGTTACTGCCCGTATTAACTACCGCCCGCCAAAGGGTCCCAAAAACTTAGATATCTAGAAAAAGCTAAATTATTCAATGCCAATGTCCAAATACACTATTCAAAATAATACAAAATCACATTATATATATTTTATATAACCACTTTTTATTTAGAATTCTAGACACGGGTAGTCAATAGGTTTTAGTTTAGTAGTGTTTCATTAGCGGCTATTATTTTAATAGAAGACTAAACGAAAATACATGTTCGAGGCAAAAGGAAATTGATGTTTCAAGTTTTAGTAATAATTAATTGTAACTTGTTCTGTTTAGCTTCTAGACATTTTAGACACAACACGTTAAAATATTTCGTTGTAGGAATATATAATTACAGAAGAAATTTCGTTATAGATAAGAGAAATAAGAAATTGTAATTATGCGATTCGTCTTTAGAAAATACAGCGAAATATTTTAGGCCCCATCTTTGTATGAACAGGTGATACATCACACAGATGTTTTTAATCAAGAAGTTTTACTTAAACGGAACGTCAGTACAAAAGTCCATTGTTACTTTTAGACTAAATACAATCTTACTGACACATATACACTGAACCAGACCACGAGCGTACGGCGCGTTGCGTTCCGCGCGCGCCTCTAAGAGCCAACAGACCACCACAGGTAGTCAAATAGAGCTGATGCCGATACGGAACCGCGGAGTACGTAAAAGGTTACCGCGGCTCCGGCTCGAAGTGTTTTATCGAATTCCGAACGGGGTGGTATTTAGTAAATAAAAGTCTGACACATAGGCGGGAGAAGTAATTCGATAATACTCCCCCTCTTAAAAAAAACTGACACATAATTTTTCAATTTATAGAGCTCATGGTATCATAATTAATGTATTGTACATAGATGTCTATACATAAGTGCATGTATCGTGAAAGGCGTGTGCATGAAGCATGAAACATAACTGAACACCACTTAAACACATCTCAACAATAATTGCATCTAACTGTACATGGCTACACACCAAGCTATGCTAACCAGTATAAACTGACCTGCGAATGTGCGAAAAGATCATACAAAACAAGACCATGATTTACTGGTTTTTTTTATAAATTGCTGTGTCGAGGTGTGTACCATCAGTTTGTTTTTTATTTTCTTGTACATATAACAAATTAATTACATTGTAAATATAATTTCATCTTAATTAGGTTATTTTTTTTTAATGTTGTATACGGTTTACGGTTATCGTTTTCGTGGAACCGCGACTGTTTTCGAGCTTGAACCGGGTCCCGTATGTGGGCCAACTTTTGTGTTGTCATTTTCTTTGTCCGTTGATATCGTGTAAACGAAATTGAAGTATAATATTTGTACGAAATCCTTGTAATAGATACGTTTTTAGGGAAAGTTTAATTATTTGTTTATTATTTCTATTGTAAAATATTAAGTATGTATTTATAAGCATTTTAAGTTATTTTATTTCATAGTGTGTATATAATTATGTGATGTAATACTGTTTAAGATGTATATTTATGTATCCTAAAGCTATTTATTTATTCTAAGATCGATATTCTAGTTCATTTACTTATTATTGTATTTATTTGCGAAACATTGTACTCCTTTTCACACATCACTCGACAACAGAAACTCCATTATCAGGTAGGTAGACGTTATCACTGTATAGTATCAAAAATCAATATTTTAATTCAACAATACACAGGTGTAACCTTATCTTATGCGGTAATTATCACACGAAGAATTTAAATATAGGTGGCGCGACTATCGCGGCAAGCGGGTGAGGAAGGTTCGGAGAGGAGACGAGTGGAGATTGAGAAGAAAGAGTTGCTGGAGAAGTTGCAGAGCGCAGCTGCAGAGTTGGAGAAAACTAAGCAGAATCTAGCCAATAGTGAAGCTAAGGTACACTGTCCTTTTATTTATTTATACTTATATGTTACCTCTTGTCTAATTTTTGGCTATAGGATCTCCTTTGTTGTTTATTTTTTTTTTACTTTTTGGAGTAGTAACATTGTTGTAATGTTGCCATTGATTTCCATTTTTATTGAAGCGACATTACTTTGACGCTTTGACACGTTAATAGGTTTTACTACCGTGTCTTAAAATATTTTGAGGACACAAATATTAACTAGTAAATAAAGTATGTCGATTTAGTTTTTAGTTATCTTAAATTTAATATATGGCCTTCTTATTCTTAGTAGATTACTATGGTATTCTGTTTACCTTTAATGTTATTTGTTGTGCAAGTTGAAATATCACTTTTAATCCTTGGATTGGAAACAGTAACACTATGTGTAACATAAACATTATTATATGCATGTTAGCTATTACATTAAAACTACTAACAACTACATTTAAGTTACCTTATTCTTAATAGTTTTGATTCAAATAGTTAATTTCTTCTTACTTCTTTATATTCGGTATTTGACTGGATTTTATGGCGAAGTATAAAACGATGAGTTTAAAGTTCATCTCTCAACAATGCCCTATTTACGTTTCCTTACTTATTGGCATTTTTGGTTAAACTAAAATCCCTAATATTAGGTTTTGTACCCAATTTATACAGCCCTAAGCAAGTAATAATCCTTTAAGTTTCCTTACATGTATATATTTGGAACTTTGGTACCCCAATACCCCTCCCAGGGTATATAAAAAGGTCCTAGTTAGCAAGGAAGATGCTATATCTGTCTGGGCAGGTGGTGCGGCTGAACGGCGAGGTGCACTCCCTCGCCCTGGAAGTCAAGTCCCTGCGCAGCGCCGCCGACCTCGCCGCCGTGAGTCCCAGCCTCTACACCATATAAACAATCTAGTCTTGCATATGCCTACAGTAACTAACGAGCTGAGATACCTTTGTAACTTTGAACCTTACGACCAAAGCTATAAGGTTCGCTTTTAATTGACGCTGAAATTGATTGATATACTTTTTTATGTACTGCGATTATTGTGTTGTGCTAATATTAATTTAAGCTTGCCATTTTTGTGCTACTTTCTTTCCAAATGTAGCGAAAAGGAGTCTTGAATTTGAAACGAAGGAATTTGAACTTTATGCAGCTGTGTTATAGTATATTTTATCTCGACTCGTTGGTTACGATTATACACTGCGTGTTATGACGTACTACTAGTGCTGTACACTAGAGCTTAGTTCGCTTAGTAGTCTATACTGCGAAAGTGCTTATTACACAGATTATAAATAAAAAAAAGGAATGAGAACTTCTTTATGGTCATTAGTTGGCGCCACTGTCATTTAAGATCTTCAAGATTTAATTAAATACTTTTTGCTTACCAATACAATTTTTTCGATTGTACTTAATTACAGTTCAGTCCAAATGGGTGCAATATTTGATGGTACTGACACATTTATTTGATATTTTGAACTATAAGTAAATATATAAATATTTTTTATTACAGTAAAAACATACAAAGTTATCAGTTATTGGTATTTTATATTAAAGTAATAGTAAATAGTTCGTGTTAACAGTAATTCAGTATTGCGTCATCGCATGTAGATTTAGATTTAATTGTAGTCGTATTTTGATTGTATTCTGCATTTTAGACGTTTTTTCTTAAGACTTAGTCTTGGTCTCTATTTTTATATTTATCAAGTAAGGTTATATGTTCATTGCGATATAAGTAAATGTAATAATTTCGCAGTGAATGTATAGCTTTATATATTAAAGTTTGCACTATTGGTCAAGCTTGGCGGCTTTGTGTGGAAAGAGAAATAATTGAGATTTTTATATAATAAGTTTTGTTTTACTGTTTTCTATATATTAAATATAATGAACTAAGTTTTAATGTTGTTTAAAGTTGAAAGATTAGTGTTAATTGGCCGTATCATAGATACCTACATGAGTAATTTTGTGATACCACGACCTCATAGAAAACCGATGTGAAACAACACTTAGGGACAATTCCCCCCCCCCCCCGGCCCCAATCTTCCCAATCCCTGAATACCCAACAATCCTCAAATTCCTAATCCCCAAAGGGCCGGTAACGCACTTGTAACCCCTGTAGTGTTCCAGGTGTCTATGGGTGACGCCGATTCCGTACCATCAGGTAGTCCGTCTGCTCGTTTCCCGGCTTATCCCATAAAAAAGTAATCATAATAATGTTTGCAAAACCTTACCTTGATACGTAAACATGTCGGATAAAACTCGACCGGATAAAATATTTCTATATCTCGTGTAGAGGAAGAAATTAATCATCAAACAAAGAAAACAGTGGAACAAGATTGTACAGTGTGTTATTAAAAATATTATCTATACGATAGGCATAATATATAAGTAAAAGAAAGACTCTGGTGATTAAAATTCATTGTTAAATTTTTAAATCATTTTATATTCTCGAAGCTATCACAGATGGAATGAGATTTTGATAACACATAGTATGTTTTATAATAACTATCGTGAGACGTGCTGAATTAACTAAAAATTACGAGTTTCTCACGCAAGTATAATAAAACGGGCGGGAAAGTCTTTCGATGATTTTCCCCCCTTAAAAAAACTCACGTAAATATATTGAGAAGCGCTACTAGCTACCAGTTTCGAGTCACAGATCTAGCAGATACAGCTTTTCTCAGTATATTTACGTCAGTAACTCGTAATTTTTATTTATTTAACATATAGTATATTGAATGCTCATCTTACAGTGTATTTAGATAGTAAGTTATGTACTTATAATCCCCTTTTTTCTAATATAACTTAATATTTTCAACAATTTGCTAAAGAAATCATAACAATTTTGGCAAAGTCGAAGTCTATATATATAGTCCATATATATAGTCTATATATATATGATGTATATAGTAAAATATATACAGTGAAACTTGGTTAAGTGGGACCTGGATAAGTGAGAAACCTCCATAACTGGAACTCATACTGAGGTCCCAACACTTTGGCACTGAATTACCTCTGTTAGTGGGACGAGGTAAACCTCTATATCTGGGATTTGTTCTTTCGATTTATCATCATAGTTACCTCTATAACTGAGACAGAGAGTAAATTTTATATGCATAAACCTCTGTAACTGAGATAACATTGTTTGTTTACTCATTCTTATTCTACCCACAAATTCCACACGTAATTCCAAGTCCACCTATATTAATGGAACCCTCTGTAAATGAGACAGATATTTATTTATACCTGTATATCTGAGACACTGGGTAAGTGGAATACCTCTATAAGTGAAACGACATTGCAGGTCCCTTGATGTCTCACTTAACCAGGTTTCACTGTACATAGTGTTGTAATATGTTTACTCTCTGTTTACCTCCTTGGAAAATAAACAGCGTAATGTTATGTTCTTTAAGTTCTTTTCCTTTAAAATGTCTAAAAATACTGTAAGAAGCATACGCCTAAATATTATGTTCCTATATTGAATTACATTTATATGATTAGATGTTAGATATATTTTATATAAATATTATTTTTACATTGATTATATAGATTCTCCTTGTTGTAACTTGAATACGTTTTTATTTTTATTATAGATTTTTTTTATTAATTTGGGCAGCTTATCTCTACACTAGTCGAAATATGTTTTGATTACCGCGTTTTTCAAATTTATTATTTATATATATGTATTTATGGTGCTATTTTTAGTATGTGGAGTCTAGACTCCATAATTCTAGACTTATGTATGGAATAATTATTACACTGGAATTGAAACTATACTTGGCAGCAAAGAAACATATATAAACATATGCATCCCCATCATATAGATGATTGGCAGGTCACAACTCGCGTAGTTTTCTGCCTCGCACAGCAAAACTGTGGAATGATCTGTCATCGGTGTGTATACACTTTCGAGGAAACTAGTGTATAGAGTGTATAGAGGAATAGTGATTATGTATATGTGGAATATTCAGAGAATAACAGATGTGATTTAGTGTACTTAAAATTATTTTTATTCTTCTCTTAACATATCTTTTATCTATTTTATTTACGTGGTACAAAACATATTCAGATCAGTGTATGAGTAATATTTTTTTTATTGTCAATGGTAGCTTTCAGGTTTTATTAGTTTTTGACAGAGGGTGTGAAATGGTTGTACTCTACACTTTTAAACAGAATGAACAATTGTGATTATGAAACTGTAACCGAAAAAAGTATGATTAATATATATATCTTTTTTATCATGATTTCAATATATTTCTTATTCATGTTGACATCAGCCATTCCCAGAAAGAAATGACAGCTCATGATAACATTGCAAATGTAATATTTAACAGAATTTCATTAAATTCTGTATGTGATTCTATATGACTTTAATTGATGATGAAACAAGGCTTATTTTATTAAAAGTAATGTTATAAAACTGTTGAAATTTTAGTAGAAATTACTCCTTCACATTACTTTACTTCTCAATCGATACTCCACCATTAAAAATGAAACCTTTCCACCTAAAAAACAAGAATCATAATTGTTCATCACACGAAATGTTTTAGTTAGCACCTCGCTTGGCTCACGATGCGGGTCAGTATCTGTTTTATCATCGATAACGTAGTGTTGATAAATTGATTATATATACAATCATATACATACATATATACTGTACAAAAACACGTGACGTTGTCCTTTTGTCACGACCGAAATACATCCGGCGTATTAGTCATTGCACAGGTGACGGTTTGCCTATTGTTTTAATATACCTAGGACTTATACAGGGTGTAACGAAACGTGTAACTAAATAATTACAGATGATGTAGCACTATAGATTTAATGATCGTAACGAAGTATATTTAAGGCTTAAATGACTTCAGTTTCAGACAATCACTTATTAAAGGCATTTGTTAGCTGATTGAGTGCTAATTAATTTGAAAATTCAGTTTTTAAGGTCGGTTCCTGGTGAAGTCTATGAATGTTTTGAAATATTGTTTTAAGTTTCGATTGTGTAGATATAAATGAGATTTGCCATATCATTTGTTATGAATATGATGCGAAAAAACCGTGCCCTCATTGTAATTATACAATTTCCGTTACACTCTATATAAATTCTCAATCATAATATATAAACATTCCAAGTACTATATACGAAGTTAATTATATACAGTACAAACGATTTAAGTGAAATTATATTTACACATTGTTATATTTTGTGACGCACGAATTTTATAAATAAATTATTTTTGGTCCAAATGTTTTCTTTTTGATTTTTTTACCCTGTTTTTGCATGGATTTTGCTTGGCTAACAGCTAGTTTGATGTATGCATGATAGTTACTAATTTTTGGGGATTGGGCGACTAATAGAAATTGCATTTTAACTAACTTGCAACTAAAGAGTGCATGGGATTAAAATTGTGTGGAATAAAAACCTAACGATCATCTGGTATGGACATTCAGTTATAAAAAAGCGTATTTGTTCAAATATTCATCGCTAAATAAGCTCTATTACATTTCAAATAAAGTCAATATTACAATACCAACACGGAAATGTTTTAACAAATACGCCAAGAGTAGCATATAACAACATTTCGCGTAATTCTAAACGGTGCAATTGTTTAGTGGAGAATTAACAATGAACTATGATATCAGGTGTTTAGGTAACAAACAGTGATTGTGTAAGATAACTGTGTCAGGTTATATCGGCATGTGATTGTTAACCTTGATATTGCGACATTTTTATATAAAAAAATAAGTTGTTAAAGAAAATTCTTGGTCTATACGACGGTGTATAATATAAAAATCATTCTGTATATAACATGGAAGTTGGAATTGATACCCAAAGTGGGGTTTCTAACCCCTTCGAGATGTAAATATCTTAATATTTAGTTGCGACATATTTCAATGATTTTGCACAGTACAGTGGCGTAACTATCGGCTAGTACTGTTGCAACAAACCGGTCCGATCGGCAAATGTTTATATACAGATCCTTCAGTGCTCCGTTGTTACTCGAGGCGACCGCTCGTGTGTTCAAATACCACTCGTTGATAATTAGACAATACATTATTTATTCCATCGAAAAACTAAATTACACAGTGATTTTTGTGCGTGTTGGCTCATATAGTGACTGAATATGTGATATAGTGTTTAATTTATTAAATGAAGTGAGAGAAACCGACGCAATAATGAATGTTAATAGTGAAACACTTTCGGTACGTAGCTTTTCGTAAATTCGGACGTGACTCATTAAGATATTGGTCATATTGCACCTCTAATGATGCGTGATATCTAGATAAAAAGGCAATATTTGTAAACAATCGCCAATCTATAAGTAAACAATAATCGACGTGTTTTCAAATCTTTTCTTTTTTAAATCCAGTTCAAACGAAGAACACCCAATTCTAATTTTAAAACACGTTTGTTTTTTAAGACCAAACTAGAAAAGAGTTTGTAAACAATGAGTTTTATAGTCTGTAAAGATATAAAATTATATTTTTCTCAAGCTTGCGAAACAGAGAGGTAATGTTTACTTAGTTATCACGCGCGGTAGTTATCTTACGGTTAGTCACACGGTAGATAATATAAACAATATGGACACCTTTATAAGCGTAAAGTAAACTAGTTTACTGGGTGAAGAGAGTAGAAAAACATAGCAACGCGGAAAAAGTGGTTTTAAATGTAGAATACTAATGTAGCTACTAGCTTCCTATTTAATATCTATGTATTTTTCCGCAGCACTAGTAGGTATTTACTATTTACATAGATATGTTAATTTAAAATAACAGTTATTTTAGTTTTTGCTACATACTCCGCAACAACGTCTTATTGTACGGAGCTGGGGTGTGTGTGACGCATAATGAACTTCTAAGGCTTTATACACCCCTTCAGGGAATAAAACTCAGTATAAATATACATACAAGAGCAAATTACATTTGGTACAAATATAAAACGATTACAGGAAAAAACGATGGAGTTTGAAAAGCGAATTGAAAGTTTGACGCAAGAGAACAGGGAGTTGTTAGAAGCATTAGAGAATGAGAGGTCGCTAGTGAAGATTTTGAGGGAGAAGGTTGACAAGTCCAATCTACTCTGCGATGAGAGTAAAGCGGAGGTCAATCACCTCAACTCTATGGTGACGGAGATGCAACACGACTTCTTGGATATACAAAGGAAGTTTGATAAGTAAGTTCTTTTATCTTTATTTTGTTATGATTAGTGTTAATTTGTTTTTAATTGGAGGAAAACTTCTAATGGTTTGTGTAGTTCACAAAGTGATGAGTTTGCGTTTGTAAATGCATTCATGACACAGGAGATAATTACGGAGCCAGACCCCACAAAAGGAGAACAGAATTGGCGTCCAGAGTTCGTCTCCATATCAAATTTCATCAAAATCCGTTCAGTAATTTTAACGCTAAAGTATGACAAGATAATTTTGCATATTTTTGTTGTCACATTTCTTGGCTCGAGTAACGAGGCAATCTTTAAATATAATGACGTTCATAATCATTTGTAGTAGTTGCGCCTAATAGATATTTTCGTCTGGATGTCTATCTCGGTTGCCTGTTATGTTTAGACGTAGGAATAGCCATGCTTCGGCTCGACCTTAACATAAACGAGATCGTAACGGCGTCCGCTGCTTTGATTGGTGGTTTTAGTGAAGCCGGCCAATCAGAGCCTCGGTTGTGTTTCGCCGGTAGGTGGTTAGGTAGTGTTTTTACTTGAGACCCAACCCCTTTTTTTTAACCAACGTTGCCCCACACTAGGATTTTCTCTTATGTCGTGAGTGTCTTTACAAATACAAATTCACATTCATATGAGACCCAGGCCCGAAAAAATAATCTGTGAATCACACAAAGAGTTGTTCCATGCGGGAATCGAACCCGCGACACGTTGCACGACAGCCAGTTGCCCAGCCACCGCGCCATCCGTGCAGTCTCTTCTTTCTCTCTTATCCCTAAATCCTCAACAGGCTGGCAAAGCACTTGTAACTTCTCTGATTGGACCATAGGCGGCGCCGATTGCCTACCATCAAGCCACCACTTAAAAATGACCTTGAAATATTTAACTTTGACCTTTAGAAAAAAATATTTTTCCTTCTACAATCTTTGTCTGTAGACACCCAATTAATCTATGAACCAATTCTGTGAACAATGTTCTTGAAATTGATCAGTTTTAATTGGAGCAATGGGACTGTCATGAACAGTTATTTAAAAGTGTCATTTTTACAACATACATGATGTTCAACTGTTCATGTCGTGGTGGCCCGGAGGTTTAAGACGCCCACTTCTCATGCATGAGGGTGCGGGTTCGAAACCTACCAACGGCAAGTACCAATGTGACTTTTTCCGAGTTATATGTACTTTCTAAGATTATTTAGACACCACTGACAAACGGTGAAGGAAAACATCGTGAGGAAACCTGAACTTATAATTTCTAATTATAAGTTTGAAATCGCCAACCCGCATTGAGCAAGCGTGGTGATTAATGCTCTAACCTTCTCCGTGTGAGAAGAGGCTTTGCTCAGCAGTGGGCATTTATAGGCTGTTGATGTTGATGATGATGTTCAACTATCAATAACTGCTTTTTCGTGACCTTGGAGTATAAATCCTTACCTATATTATAAATAGGAAAGCGAGTTTGTTTGTTTGTTTGTTTGTTCCACTCTAACGCCGTAACTACTAAACCGATTGCTTTGAAATTTCGCAGACGTAAAGTTACAAGTCCGGATTAAATAATAGGGTACTTTTTATCCCTGAAAAATTGGATATTCTCGCGATAGATGGTGCTGTGTGTATTGGTATATGTCACATTGGCTTTTTATCCTTGTGACGCGAGCGAAGCCGCGGGTAAAAGCTAGTATATAATATGTAGGAGGAGGCGGGACGCGTGAGGCAGCGAAGCGCTGCCTCCTCGCAACCCAGCCATCGGGAAGGACACACCGGGCGTCGGGGATTGCGGGACGATCTCCGGCCACCGTAAGCGCGGGCCTGCGGACGGACGGAAGAGTCTGACACTCCCTTCCGCCTCACCCAGGCGGGAGCAGTCATTCGATGATTTTCCCCCCTTAAAAAAAAAAGTATATAATATGTACTCGTTTATGTATTGTTATAAAGATTTAAATCGAACTATTGAAGGTCATACGTCATATTGTAGTTTCAGATCAAGTAGTTTTGCCGGCAATACCGTGTCTGAAGATAAAATAAATGTATTTTGATAGCAAGATTATTTTATTCTCTTGGCGTAATCGTTTGTAGATTTATTACAATATTACTTAAATACTTACTCAATTCTGACGATACGTAAATTTTTGGCTATATTAATTCCGACCACTGATGACTGCCTCGTTGGCCGAGTGGTCACAAGTGCGACTGCCGGGCAAGGGGTTTCGGGTTTGATTCCCGGGTCGGGCAAAGTATTACTGGGTTTTTAAAAATATCAGCAGTAGCACGTAGTCTGGAAATGTGCCCGGTATATAGCAATAGGCTCACTCCCTATTACTTGGGACTCATAACATAAATAGTGAAAAGTGGGTGGTTCACTGTACAGTGGCATTAAGTGCCGAAATGTGCACCTCTGTCTATCCCTTCGGGGGTAAAAAGGCGTGATGTTATGTGTAATTCAGACCACCGTTAGCGTTCAAAAATTGAGAAATATGATTTTAAACCCAAATCATAATTATTAATAGGTTTTCGCTAACTAAGCGAGACATTCAACGATTACTTTTTATTTACATAAAAATAAAATATAATACCCACCCAAATAACTCAATAATTTTATATTTTAGAGAAAAACGCGAAAAGGACGAAGCATTACTAAGGAACGCGCACATGTCACAGACGATAGAAATGAGTCAGTGCAACGTGCGCTACCAGGAGACGGAGATAGCAGACCTGAAGAGCAAGATAGCAGAATTGGAGGGACTCATTGCACAGCACAAAGAGGTACATAATATCATTTTAGAAAATCACCAGTCCATCATTATAGGTAGGTAGGGTTAGTACGCCAGTTCGCATCCATTCATCGAATCGCCATGAATGTAAGATATTTAAAAGTTAAAAATTAAACAGATGTAGAGCTCAGAGGGCTTTTCGTAACATGGACGCTAACTGGTTGGTGGACACGAAGAAGCTAACTTACCCTATATAATATGTCCTTAATTTACTCTTTACTAGACTGTACGTCAATTTTACGTCATCAGTAATTTTATCAAGATGTTCTTCGTCATATCATAATATATGTATGTAGGTCCTTCGTTTGTCATATTGTGTTATAGATAAGTATTCTTCCTGGTACATTTTCTCTTCTAATTTTCCGCTTCTAAAATATTCACAATTGCATGCTAATTTTCCTCAATAAATCTATAGTTTAACTAATATACCATGAAACAGTATATTTACGAGTATTTTGTCAAATAACTAACCTTATTATAAGGTACTTGAAGCACGTACTGTGATTCTAGCACGTATTTGTTCCTTTAATATTCACAGGACTAGTTATGACTCAAAAATGTTTCAAGATTTCAATCTTGAATCATTGGATTAAAGTTGATTTTTGATATTATTTAGTTCTATCGATTTTTTAAACATTTTTCAGTGGTTTTCATATTAGGTATTCTGTTTTACAGAATCAAGCTGCATGTATGTTAATAAAAGAGACGGAAGAAGCACGGAAACAGGAGATCGAACAACTTAAGAAGAAAATAGACGAATTAATAGAAAACGAGACTGCACTCAAAAAGACTATACAAGACTTAGAAACTGAAATCTGTGATAAAAATAAGGTGAGTTCATTATTTTGTTTGAGATTTATGTAGCAAATGTGTGTAAAAATAAAACGAGAGTGACGTAAAGAGATTGAGAGTGAAAGAGAGTCTATAGAATGAAAGAGAGTTTTGGAAAGTTTCTGTTTTCTACGTGAATAAATCCAATCACTTATTTTGAAGGTACTTACATTTTTGTAATTAATTTCAGTGATAAAAAAACACATAAATATAATTCAGTTTTCTATTCTCTCGGTCGACTAGCTGTCATATAACTATAGGTAGAATAGTAATTTTTGTTTTTTTTTGTTCATACCATGTTAGACGCAGTGTCTTAGTTATTACTGTTTTTCCTGTCGAAGGACTGCAGGAAGAGATTCCTACGGGAATATGTAGTACTTTTGTACCTCCAATTTATATGTATTCTCCTTTGTATTGTGTGTGTGTTGTGCATGAATAAATTAATAAAAAAAAAACAGTTGCATTGTGCGTGCAAGCAGAAACTTTAACAATATTTGTAAGGAATATGACTAGGAGTGTGAATTCGACAAAAAAGTGCTTAAGCCTCAAATTAAAAGAAAATATAATAATTTGTAAATGTATCCTTTACTAGTTCTCTTTTGTTTTATCCAGTACTCACACCACATTAATTTAAGCTCATAATTCTCAACGTGCGTACTTGTACTTATGGCTGTGGCTCACCGATACTTGTACTTATTGCTATAACTAAAAATCACGGGTTACACACGAAAAAAGCTCTACTAGTTTCGAACTACAGAAGGGTTCTTCCTCATGATTTTTATTAGCTATAAGTCTTCCATGTTCTATAAATAAATTAATTACATAAAATTTGGTTTATAGCACTGATCTGATTTAACAATTCTGTACACGCGAAGCAATGTCCGTTCCTCCTATTAGCTTATTTATTACATGATAAAGTTATCAAAACACCTACTGTTGGATCGTTCATTGTTAAAGATAAACGTGACATAAAGCCACGCCAATTTCCGCTTTACGCCGCGGTCATAAAGACGCGTCTGTTTATGAATAATAGCAATAAAGGTATTAATAGCTATGTAATGTACCTTATCCATTATTAATGGTCCACTGCTAGACTATGGACCTCGTCTATGCTTTATAAAAGGGGTTGTCATATTCTCCATACGTTTTGAAATCGGGTTAGAGATAACTGATAGGAATCTCGAGTAAACAGTGGCCTTAGTACAAGTTTAAAGTAATGGAAATGGGACCGCATTCGCTTTGATTGTTTGGTTTATGGGAGCCAACCAATCAGAGCGAACGCTGTCAGCAGTACCGTCTTGCTAAGCCCTCAGGTTGCTCATAGGTAGGCGTGCTCCATCGTCGGCCACATCATCGCTTACCACCAGGCGTGATAGTGGTTAAACGTCATCCTATCAAGTATAAAAAAGCCGTTGAAAAAAGTTCAGGTTCATCATAGAGCGCTGCTGGCCTCTATCAATGTGTAGTTCTTGAGTTGAGCTCACGTGAATAGTCAGGGTGGCGACAAATGTGTTTTAATTTGCTGTCACCACACAGCAACTCTTGGATAACTACTTAAAATAGAAATTAACGGCAAAGTGTGGAAGAGTCATTCGGCACGAATAGGCCTGCTCGACCGGAGTGATACCTCGGCCTCACAGAAAACCGACGTGAAACGACACTTGCGTTGTGTTTCATCGTGTGAATGAGGTTACTAGAGGCCCAGTTAGACACCCTCCTTTCCCAATCTCCCCAATCTGAATCTCCTACAATCTTGAGGATTCCTAATTCCCAAAAGGCCGGTAACGCACTTGTAACGCCTCTGGTATTTCGAGTGTCCATGGGCGACGCCGATTGCTTACATCTTGTGCCAAAAAAAAAGAAACGTGTTTATGTAAATCATGAATGAATAAACATCAATCTAGATCTATTAATAAAAATACTTGCTCACGTTTGGGAATAATGCATATTTTAATTTAAAATATAAATAATCAAGTTTGAAACTTGAATGAAATAGTCGCACGTCACTGATTGATGTACGAGTTTTATTCATTTTATTAAAATACGATTTTATATTAATTCTTGTCATACTTACATATAACGTTATAGAAAAAAACAATAGAATGATATTAAAAATTGGTATGTTTAGAGATTTTGATGAATGTAAGACAAATATAGATTCGCATTTATATAATAATAATAATGATTTATTTACATTTCGTCCAAGAAAAACATTTGTTTTCATTTCAAAGAGACCTAAATAAATCATGAATTAGATTTACTAGCTTTCTCCTAAAATGACATTAATTAAACAAATATTTGATATTGTTTTTCAGAAAATAAAAACGTTAGACAACAGAATATCGGATATGAAGAAAACGCTACAGCGGGAGCTACAGAGCAGTAAGTCGGATCTCACGTCGGCTGAAGAACAAGATATTAGTAGACGGTAAGATTATTTCATTATTTTTAACTGGCATATTTAGCAAACGTGCAGACAGATCACCTGATGGTAAGCGATCAACACCGCCCATGGACACCAGAAACACCAGGCAAGTCACAGGTGCCTTGCCGGCCTTTTCAAAAGAACTACGCTTTTTTTGGTCGTCATAGATATTTCATAGTCTCTGCCTACCCCCATGGGAGACGGGCGGTAAATTATGTACGTATGCTGTTTTCTTGAGAGTTTATAGTTGTCATTTTTTAGTTTTTTGCAATAAATAATATTAAAACCTCTGTAACCCGCCCCCCAAATCACAAATGAAATTGGGATACGTATCTTCTAATTTACTCAACAAAAAGCGTTTTGCCTCAAGCAGCTAACAGTGATGCATTCTAACTTAAAACTTTGTTTGTTAGTGTCATATGTAGGGCTAACTACCCCTTGTTTGAAAAGATATCCTTCTAATATTATAAATGCGAAAGTGTGTATGCTTATTTGTTCGTTTGTTATTCCTTCACGTCAAGACGGCTGAAGGGATCCGGATGAAATTTGGAACATGCGTAGATTTGATCTGGAACAACACAGGCTACTTTTTATCCCACGCTAACGAAACTAGTAACTTATAACATCGTTATTACTTTTTAATTTACCAATAATTAGCGCATTCAATAAATACCGAGACAAAGTTCTAAATATTTATTGAAATTCTTAATTCCAGGTACTTAAAACACGTGGTGCTTCGTTTCCTAACGGCGCGTGAGTTGGAAGCGAGACAGTTGACTCGCGCACTCGCCGCTCTCCTACGGCTGTCGGCTCACGAAGAGGCGTTACTCCGAGCTGCTCTCCCGCCTCGCACTGGCCTGGCAGCGTGGTTTCCCTCTCTCAACACCTGATCCATCTAAACGGAGCATAGGAACGTATGTATGTGAGTTAGAACGCTTAAAGATAAATTCTCAAGTTGTTATAGCAAAAGATGACAACTTTCCTTGTTTGTGAAAAAAAATGTACATGTCATTTATGCGGGTATGTCACCATGTCAGTGTGTAGATGCATGCATAAATGAAGGAATCTAAAGAAGTAGGTTATAAAGGAATATTCCTACATACTCTATGGGTCGAAAACGTGTGTTTATATGCCTATGTACGATGTCACAGGACAGGGGAAGTGATGAAGTAGCATTTGAGAATTCAAGAGCCGTTTACGTTGACAAAAATACTGCAATATAGTGTAGATAACTTATTGCTTTTGTATGTAAATTTGTACACATGTGAAGAATTAATTATTTGTTACTATGATATGAAAATAGAGCACATTATGATGATTTTATAAATTGTCTTAGTTAAGGAATAGAGGGATACCCATCAGATATGATTTATATGCAAGATCGTTTGTGTATAGTTGGTGTCATTTACTTTTATATGTGTGTTTGTAGGTACTTTTTTGAGGGGGAAAATCATCCAATGACTTCTCCCGCCTTGGGTTAGGCGAGTGTCAGACTCTTACTAGCTAAAAACCACCCTGTTCCTACCCCTGCTTTTCGAGCCGTAGTCCCGGCAACCCGTTAGGCCTTCCGCGGCTACCATATCGGGCATCAGCCTCACTGGGCCTCATCTATGGTGGTTTGTTGTAGGTATTTGACGTCAGCTTTTTTGTTGGATCTTTCCCTAATGACATACAAAATGAATAACCGATTCCAATACAAAATCTCTGGATTTATTTAGGTTTTTGGTAGAAAGTCCATTTTTTTTCTTATTTTATAACGGGTTCGTTTACAAACATACACATGATACCCAGACTCGGAACAACAATCTGTGGATCACACAAAGAGTTGTCCGTGCTGGAATCGAAACCGCGACACGTTGCGCGGCAGTCAGTTGCCTAACCACAGCGCCAACCGTGCAATCAATGGTCTTGATATTAAAAATCTACGTCATTATTTTGATTTAAATTGCTTATTAATTTGAGCCAAGTCCTTATTACGTGGAGCAATCTACTTTCTAACCTTCACACCTTAAAAGCTTTATTCTAAAAGAAGGATAGCCTCTTGTCTGTTGAATTTTGGCGGCCATAATGTGGGACCCGGTGTTTCAACAAACAAGAGGTTAATAATACCTCCATAGCCCAAGCTTTAATTTTTACGGGTGTGTCTAGTTGTTCTATTGTTTATTGTTGTATATATTTTGTAATATGTAGCTTTTGTGACAAGAGACGCCTTTAAATCGTATAAATCTTATCAATGTAAGTCAGCAAGACATGAATTTAAATCGAAATAATAATATAATATATATTTTATGTTCACTTTTTTATCAGATATCATGAAAATCGTGCTCGCTTTGAAAGAATCTCTATACAAAATTATGTACCATATTATTATATTGTTTATCTTGATTATTATTTGTTAATAGCTTAATTTTTTATTTAATATGTTTGTATTTGGCGATCAATCATAAGCAGGGTGGGCTTTAATAGAAAATAACACACTTAATTTTCAAATCCTACCGCTAGATAGCGGTAAACTCAACTTTGATAGCACGTTTTTTTAATAATAATATGGAACATTCATTGATTTAGTTCCTTAAAACTTTTCAAGAAAAGAGACCTAACTCTTTTCTTGCAAGAGCTATTAATATGACTGAAGTAAATGGTTAATTTAAACCATGATGCTTATAAATCATTCGGAAAAACAATTTGACAAAAGCGGGATACCAACCCGTAGCATCCAATCGATGTCCGCTTACCTGATACTTTGTATGTAGGCTACTGAGTGCCAAGCACGAATAACTATAAGCGTTCTGATTGGTTGGTTCACTTGAGCCGACCAATCAGAGCGCCAAACGCGCTCGATACGGTTACGATACGAATGCGATAGTTATTCGTGCTTGGCACCCTGATATTTAAACATTGATTTGCGACAGTTTGATCAAGATCAAAATAAATATTTGAAGTTTAAAGTCATCTGAAGAATCGTGACTTACCACAGATAAATAAATATATTATTTTGACGTCTGAAGATTCTCGAACATTGATCCAACTGTCAGAGTCAGACTGGTATAAGTAGGTACCACAATAAGCGAATAAATACCGCATTACGCGTTACTATAAATAACTAAATAAGTATTATAATATTATTGTAACATTATTGTATTTTTGAACAACCGTATTGTAATATACACACACGTGAAAATTTAATTAAAGTTGCCTTAATAGCTGCTAGTCATTATTTTATTAACTGATTGTATTAAAGTTATGAAAACTTTTTTATGCTTGTATTACTGTGTACATCAACTAAAATTACTGTTTTTACAAAAAAGAAACGAAGAGGTAAACATAACTATTTCGCTTTTGAGCAAAAATATCGGTAAGCACAGTTTGTAGCAATCGACCATTCGATTATCTGTTTACACTCTTACAAAATCGGTGTAGTCGTTTAGAAGTTTAAGTGTGGGAGAACCATGCTTCGGCACGAATAGGCCGGCTCGAACGGTAACGTGGTAACGATACCACGGCGTCACAGAAAACGCCGAATCTCCAAAAGGTCGGTAACGCACTCTTTGGGCAGCACTGATTGCTTACCATCAGGTGATCCGTCTGCTCGTTTACCTGCTTATTCCATAAAGAAGGTTAATGCCATACACACTTTTCGGTTTCGCCGCTCATTTCTACTCAAGAATATGAGTTCCTAGCGTGGTTCGAAACTAGTCGAGATCTCTCGTCAAACAATTACAATCAACATAATATTTTTTTTGTTTTTCCAAAAATTTGAAAGTTGATGTACACAATAAAAACTATAGTTTGTGTTGTCAATTATGTTGCAATGGCGACTCAAGGGAGTTATGTTGTTGATACATCGCAATGTCGCCTCAAGAAGTTGTATTAGTATTATAGTCTGAATATTTTAGAAGAATATTAATAAATGTATAGAACGTTCAAGTGATAATGTAATTACACTGCCCCTTTGTATTTTGTACAGACAATGAACCTATCATTGATGAACTAAATAAATAATGCCGTTATGTAATAGTGAAAACCGAAAATTGTTGATGGTTTTCTTTTGTACTGAAATAGTGAATCAACGTTAGCTTCATGACTGCAATGACTGCGAAAGTTAATATAAAGTAAACATAGTAATTGTATATGCAACTCATATGACAGAAAAGCATCATATTTGTAGGCTTGATATGGACTAATTACACAATCAAAATGTCAGTCGAGTCTGTAGGACGTTTGGTGCTGATGTTAAAAAAATATTCGTATAAACCGTAGGAATATGTTAACACTGTCATATTTTGTATAAAGTTGTATTTACCATACGTAAACAGCCTATAAGTAATCACTGCTAACCAAAGCCCTCTTCTCACACAGAGAAATATTGAGCATTTAATCACCACGCTTGCTGAATGCGGGTTCAACCTTATAAATAGAAATTATAAGCCCAGGTTTCCTCACGATGTTTTCCTTCACCGTTTGTCAGTGCTATCTTAATGATCTAAGATTATGATATCTACCATAAAAATGTAATATTGTGAAGCGATATACAGCCACGTCAGAATATTACTGGCATCCAAGTTTTTCACTTTTGTAAGAATATTGTAATAAAGAAGAACAGACAGTGACGGGCGGTTCAAATCAACATTTATTTATCAACACATTGTCTTGTAAAATTAAACTTTTAGATGAAATAGGCTATTTATTGTGTGATAGTGATTTGTATAGCATTCCTTATATTTAGATGAGGCGCACTGTCAATTTTGGCACCTGTAATGTATGTAGATAGATATGTGGTGTATGTTCTCAAAGATCTGCGGATATCGATATATTGTGTACATTATAGACCTTAGCTTCTTTAATATAGAGTTTATTATATTTTGTCGTTATAAAGAACATTATTTTTTCGGTAATTTTCACAGTATTTATTTTGTAAGATGTCCTTTTACTGTAATTTATTGTTTAGTGATTATTACTATATAGGTAGGCGACGAAAGATAAAAGATATTTTTTATTTGTTATTTTTGTTTAATTTTTATCGCATATTTATGTTGTTATTAAAATAAAGTTATGATAAGTAATTATTTTGGTGTTTTTATTGTCCCAAATATCACCTTCTGTCGTATTATGAATTTCTGTAAGTATACACTGTGTACGTATACCTACGTACGTACGTGTAAGTATACCTACGTACAGTCTTTTGGTACTTTTGGTAGAAGATCCTTCCTTTGAAGAAAAGGCTAAAAAATTTAAATGTGTAAAAATCATCGAATGACTGCTTCCGCCTGGGTAAGGCGGGAGGGAGTGTCAGACTCTTACTGACTAAAAACCACCCCGTTCCTTCTTCTGCATGTCGAGCCGGAACTTCGGTTAGGTACCCGTTAGGTTCTCCGCGATGTGTTTATGTTCTACGTGTAAGTCTATAGTAATCAGGTGCCACAGTCCATATGGCAAGAGACTGTCCGCCTTTTTTCAACGTCCTTGTTGTAGGTAAACGAAAGTTAAGATCTCGTCTAATGTAAAGTCTCTGGTTTCGTGTTGTTACCGGTACAGTTCATTTCAAGTAGGAAGGGTTATCCACACTTCTCGTCCATTTCACGCAGTTAATTTCTTCTTACAGAGTATAAATGAAAACCACCAAATAATTGAACCCGACCTTAAATGAAATTCTGATGTAGATAATCATTTGTTTATTTTTTTCTTAAAAATCGAAGGCGTTAGAATTAGAATTGATTGATGTAGATCTGTTTATGTACCTAATGCCCTGTTACTAGCGAAATCATGAGTAGACAGACGATGTGGCTTAACAAGAAATCCTCGCTGATTTCCAACATGTATACCAACATGATGATATCATGTCGCGTGCAAAGTGTTACCTAGCGGATACGAGGTTCTTAGGTGCATTTTG